TGGACAGGAGCGAGGTTATCCGGACAGAAAGGACTATGGATTAATCAATGGAATAAGAAATAGAACGAGGACAATTCACTTGATTTGGACATGTCAAGAGAATGACAGATGATGCATCACCAAAAATAGTATATTATAGAACAAGTGCGGTAAACGGCATTTGACTCACGAGTTTATTTGACACGAGTGGAGCGAGTTTTTAATAAACCAGTGAGTCAAAAAGTTTACCGAACGTGTTGCATACTATACTTTTTCTACGACTGTTAGTTTTTGAGTACATTTTTGCAAAACAACACGAATACATTCACTGACATGACCGTCAGAACTGACAAACGTCAAAATTCAAAGCGTGGGAAATATCTCCGAAAACATCCGATTGCTTCCAAATCCGTGCGGTAAAATCCCGGAAATGTCCGAAGTGGCTCGCATTCATGGGAAACAAAACTGACATGGTAAAGTGACGTAGAAAATAGTATTAGAGTGGGTACCACCCGAAAAAAAGGGAGAGGTCGGCCATGGAGGAGCTGAATGGATGACATAGAAGAAGTCATGACTTCAAGAACCTTGGAAGAAAATTCATGTCACTAGAGGAAAAGCTGGAAATTTGTTATCTAAACTTAAATATTTATTCACACCGTCTTGCACTAGGTTTGATTCAAATACGAAAACTTCACAAATGCTCAAGCACGAAACCAACATAAAGTCTATGAGTTATATGTTTTAACAGGAATTGACGTCGAACATGAAATTATTCGATAACATCGATGCACTTCTGAGAGGCGTGGGATAATTAATAGGCAGCTAATTCGGTTAGCTATATCTATGGCGCTCAAAGCGCAAATTTGTAGGCAAATGACATGCAAATTTGAGTGATTGAATACGCTCATTCGTATCGTTGCTGAACGTCGAGAGTTCACGTTTCAGTTTCTCTACCAAATTTACTTGGTGAAAAATTTTTGAAATTTTGAACCCGCGAATAATATTTATTTGCAATTAATCGCCCCTTCAATGTGCAAACTTACTGGATGTCCGGAATATTTTCGTGTCACTTTTCTCACTACTTCTGTGAAATGCTTAAAGTACCAATTAAGAAAATCCGCCATTACACCATAAAAAATATCTCAAGTGTTTTCCAAGATCCGTTAAAAAGCTCGTTTTTTTAGTAAAATTTTAACACCCTGTGTATCTATGAGAAAGCATTTCTGGACATACATTCATATTATTCAAAAGTATACCAGATACCAATAATAAAATGTTTGCAACAGTAAATAAATTGCTGATGTTTCGCCAATCATCCTGTTTGCTTCTTCAAAGATTAACCTTAGTTTTAATTAATAATAATAAAATAATAATAATAATACTAATAATAATAACAATAATAGTAATAGTAATTATCCTAAAGTACATAATCAAGGAAAATATCCCCAAGAAACTATAGAGCACATACAATCCGCGTGCCCGTGATTTGCCCCAACAAAATATTTGGCAGCAGCCTTGTTGTGTCTCTCCAAAATTTGTGCCTCAAAATCCTCAAATCCCTAGAAATCACTCCTCCAAACGAAGAACCATATTATTCGTATAACCCCCCCCCCCTTGCCGTTGAAAGGGGACAGATAAAAATCTGCTGGGATAAAGCAATTATTACAGACAAAACAACACCGCATAACAGACCGGATATAACAGTAATAAATAAACAAACAAATTCAGCCATGCTAACAGACATATCTATACCCAACAACAATAACGTGCATACTAAACATATAGAAAAAGTAGAGAAATATATTCACCTTAAAAAATCCTGGAAATATGGAGCCTCGATGAAGTAAAAATCACACCACATCATCCACAGGCTTGGTTCCTAAGAATTTGAAAGAAAGCATTCAACAAATTGGCATTCCATGAAATACTTACAAACTGATGCAGATGTCCCTCATATTGGATGCCACGTATATCGTCCGATCATTCTTGGAGGAATAAGAAGCTTTGCAGTCCTGCCTACGGGTCGACTTTAGAGTATACTCCAGTTCACAACCTGAAAAAAATTACAAAAAAAGCAATAATAACACCCTCTATTGAGATATTTTAAATTCTAGTGCAACATTTTTGACAAAACTACTAATACCAATACAAACTAATATATACTTCCATACTTACATCTCAACATTAACCATTTGTGGAATATTACATTAAATGAACTAATACGGATTTCACAACAAACAAAAAATGTTAAGCTTTTCCCAGTTATTGCTTGGTTTATGACAGCTGTTTCGCCAACCCCAAATACAAAATTTGACAATATTCGGACATCCATATATAAACAGGTAGTAATAGATTCTTAATTATCGTTATAGGGTTCTAAATTTTAATTTAACAACGGAGACCCATTCGAATCCAATTGGGCATTAAGTAATAGATTCGAATATCTCATTTTATTAAGCTCCATAGCTTCCAACAAATTTAGTTTTTTGCTTTTTGATTCATTATGTAAAATATCAAAATTACCGTAAACTTGAGCATTTCTGAATTTAAATAAATAAAGCTCTTTTATTTTCGTTAATGCATTTCTTAAATGTTTACCCCGTTTGTCCGATATAAATTTTACGATATGATCCACAATTCATCTTGTAGACTTCGGATTTATGAGTTTTTCATGATTTAGTTTAATTGGTTTTTACAAAAATTCCTAAAATGTTTTCAGTTTTAAAAGCAATTTTAAGACAAAATTTAGATAGATGTTTAACAAAATTTTCTCGCTCGTTTCTTCTATGTATTTTATTGTTTTATCAATTTTGGCCTCGGTGTTGGGTTAGTTTTGGTTAGTTTTAAAGAGGGGTCGCAACCATTCTTAAAAGCTATTTGTTTTATAATATTTAATTCTTTTTCACAATTTTCTATGGAAAGTAGTAAGTGGTCTGTGAATAAAAGAATACCGCCGAAAAAAAGGCCGCCATTTTGTGTTATGAGTGTGATTTGACTTATTATGAATTACTGTGTACGTGTGTGAGGATTTTTGGTAAATGGAAAAATCTAATTTGTCCTGTAATTTAGATACAGTTAAGTCCAGAAAGTTTAAAGAGTTATCTACTTCTAGTAAGGTAAAATTTTATAAGTTATGTTAAGTTAAGTTTTATAATTTGAATTAAAAAGGACTGCACTTTTCTTTCCGTTCCGGTGAAATAAGCAAAAATATCTTCTACATATATATACCACCAAAGAATTGTTCTACTCAGAGGATGTTTATGTATGGTATTTTCTACATCGTCCATTTACATTTCTGTAAGAAGTGGACTATATCTCTTAGAATTTGGCGTTAAAAGTGCTTTTAAAACCGAAAACACTATAGGAAAATTTTTAAAAACCAATAATCTAAATTACGAAAAACTCAAAAATCCGGACTCTACAAGTTGAAATGTGGATCACATCCCAAAATTTATATCAGACAGGTTGGACATTTAAGAAACGTGTTAAGGAAAAAGCGTATTAAAATAAAAGTTTTTTGCAATTTATATGAATTCAGAAATGCACAAGTTTTTTAATTATTTATTTTTTTTTAAATTGTGGTATTTTACATAATGAATTAAAAAGTAAAAAAGCTTTGGAGATTAATAAAATTTAAACCTAAAACTATTTAAAAACTATTTAAACCACTCCCAATTTTTCACTACCCAAAGTGAACTTTTTAGAGATTTTATGGTTATGTCTTACGACTTGAATTAATACTGTTCCAAAAAGTTAGTTTTCGGTAATTTTTTGTTATTTTTGCGAAATACAGGGTGGTTGTAATTGGAGTGTTTTAACAGCAAAAACATATCTCTTAACCAAATAGAGCAAAATCGACTTACATGTCAAGGGCTCAAAAATTCAATAAATAATAAAAGTTGTCTTCAACTGACATTAACAGCTATATGCACGGCCTACTAACAAATATACAAAAAATGCCCTATATTTCCGCCTTTTTTCGTCACAGATACCAACAAAGCGTCGACACGACAAATAAGAAAGTTTTATTCATTTATGAGAAAACGGAGAACTGTAGAAAAAAATCTGAGTACTCTACTGCATTTGCGTTTAAAAAAGGTTATGGTCAATTTTCAAAAGGAGCCGAAAATTGAAAAACGCACTAGGTCTCGGTTGATAGTAAAGATATCGCCATGGGCCTTTAACAATTAAATGTTACTGAAAAATCGAACCCTTGACATGTAAGTCGATTTTGGCCTATCTAGTTCAGAAATAGGTTTTTTCCTGTTAAAAAACTACAATTACGACCACCCTGCATATAAAAAACACATTTTTTAAATTGTTTTGAACGCCCACGCATTTTTTTCTTCTACACCGACCATCGCAGGAATGTTTCGATCGGGAATTTGTTTGAAAATTTCAGTAAACATCTTGGTGCCTTTTAAACATTATAAGTAATTGTAACAGACTAAGTTGATCTGCTAACTATCGTTTGGTGTATCATAAAAAGTAAAAACATGATGCCTAAGATTTTTGGTGACTTACTTTTAACTTCGGTCGGCCGGTTCGCTCCATTTAGATATAAAATTAGCTAAGTACGCCGAAGTGAAATCATTAATCGGTAATCACCGACATTTATTTTTTTTATTTAATTAACAAATATCAACCAACACTAACCAACCCACCACATGCCTACGAAGGCATGAAAAAATCCCAAATATAAGGACTCCTTGACTTACTTATATATTATCGACTGCAGGTCAAAGACATTTATGTATGAAGGTAAAGTCCAGTCAGAGCAACTGAGCAGTTAACTCATAGCATGACATCTTTATATAGTTCATTACTAGATCTCGTAAATTGACACAGTAATTTTGTTTGTCAGTTTTAGAACTTATATATGGTTATGGTGGCAATATAGCTAGGACATACGTATCATTTTTGATTACGTCACTGAATGTGTCGTAACTGTACAACTGCTCTGATTGGAGTATACTATAGTAAAATATTACCTGAATTAGAAGAATGTTGTCATTCCGCAGGTTGTAGAAATGTGGCACAGGGTGAGACGTTGCTGAAAAGCTTTAGAGATGAAGAAATTTCCTCCGGAACCATAGAAGTATATTCGTTAGATATAAGCGTAATGGAATCTGTGAAAGGTTTTGCCAGAATCGTTAAAGAGAAGCACAATAAGATAGATTATCTTATAAATAACGGTGAGTTTCTTATGGCAGGTACTCCCATTTTACATACCATATAAATTTCGATTCTAGCCGGAATAATGTTTGGACCGTACGTGGAAACCAGAGACGGTTACGAGTCCCAATTGGCGACCAATTATCTGGGACACTTCTTACTGACGGACCTTCTACTGCCACAACTGAAAGCTTCGGGAGACGGACATTCGTTTTCGCGAATAATAAACGTATCCTCTTGCGCTCACATTATCGGAGACATCAAGTTCGAGGATATCAACTCTAGGTGAGCCGGTGAGCATCCGTGTTATATAGGACCACAGTGTAGGACCAATACATTATTTTTAGAATTACGCGACGCAAAATCTACAATCCAAGTCACACTGAGAAAACAGTGTGCAGTTTTATGGAGTGCATCGTTGCTACCCGTAACATTGCGCTCAAACAAATTTTGTATTCTTCAAAATTACTAACTCAAATAGAAAATTCTCTCTTCACGGTGATCACTAAGCATCAGCTATGTATTATAGCAATTTTTGGAGGTGGTGGATATGTTGTAATTTTAATATACATTGCAAATAGACGCCATTCTACTATCTCTGTGACAGAGTACTAAATAACAAAACCTCAATTATAGTGATCTGTAACTGACATCGGATGCGCCTCATAAAACTAATTTACCGACGATTAAAGACGATCAGTAGAGCTACGCGTAATGTATCGTGACTATGTACGATCCGCTGTAACAATCGAAAATAAAGCAATTTATAATGTATTTCGGTTGAGATTCATTTATGCGTACATGGTAATGCATCCCAACTTGAGCTATCGAAGGAACAAGTTGCGACTCAAATGCCATTTACCACACTTGTTGCCTAATTTACTGTTGTATAAATTTATTAATTTCGAGAGGTTATAGGTGGGTTCTCAAGTAATTTCGCCCCTATATGTGTTTTCGGACATCTCTGTCCACCACATTTGGTTCAAATACAATTCCACCAGACGGCTTGCGTTTCAGAACTAGGGAAAAGCTGATGATTAAGTGTGTTAAAAACTTTACTGAACTCGAGAACTAACGAAACCTATTATTTTATTTTTGTCTGTTGCACCCACAACGTCATCTACTATTCTTAATGCCATGATGTTTCCAGGATGAACTAGGATAATATGATATTTTCCTACACAAAGTGGGTTTACTTGCAGCTTAAAGAGTTCACCAGAGCGGTGATAAAATCCTGATGGGCAAAGAGAGACTGAAACAGTGTCAATGTACAGTTTTGTTCAGTAACATGTTGAAAAGCTTTATCTATTAACCAATGAACATGTTCTGTAATGGAATCGAAGATGTTTATTGCCACATACCGCTTTACTTGGTTCCATACAATTTCACAATGACATTATGGTATTGTGTATGCGTGGACAACTTTTGATTTCAAGTAGGAGTCGACAAAGAAAATGTTTTTTTCGAGCAACCAATTTTTTCCATGAGGTCACTGGATACCTAAATTTACAAAAACAACAGCATTCTTCTGTATGAGCGACTCAAAACCATTGCTCCAAATATTCGCGGCCCATTTCGTTTTAATTCACGTCTCAGACCCATCAAGTGTAGTCAGTCAATAATGTAATAATGTAATCGTTTCATTTGGTTTTAACAGCTTGCAATAAATCACACACAGCTGATCCCACCAAATGCATAGCAGAAGCTTAGATCCGTGGATATTTTTTTTCGCCCTGGTGTTGATTGTTCGCCAGACTTTACCCAAGACTTTCTTCGTTTAGAATTGTAAAAAATTCAGTTTTCGTCGCCCGTGACGATTCGATACAAAAATCATTTCCCAACGTCCCTCATTCTGAAACATCTCTAATTTCTTTTGCGTTTTCCGATGGTCGAAAAGTTCTAGTGAAGTTGACAATTCTTGAAGAGTCTGACATGAACCTTCAATAAGCAATTTTTATAATTCTTCATCGTCGAATTTTTGTCTGTCTTGTAAATTAAAACCACCACTTTTAAAATGTGCAAACCTGTTTCCATATGTTTGTTCAGCTAGTGCATGTTCATCATTAACATATACAAAAATACGATGACTTTCCGCAGCACCACTACACTTTATTCAGCACATATTCCGATATATTTAAAAAATCACAAATTGTTGTTTATGTTTCGAAAAACAATGTACAGTAAAATTACTCATGTAGCTAAAAAAAATATGTACCACTAGCGCCATCTGTTATCAAAACGTAGCGAATTAATTTCAACACCGTAATTTTTAAAATATTAGTTCTCTGGGGGTGCTATACGATTCTCGACAGCGCCTACGCTACCCACAGTATTATCAGTGTGACTTGGACTAGAGCACCCAAAATGTCAATGGTTCACTTATTCACCACATTCGAAGAAATATTTGCAAATTTGCCGATAATATGGAAGTACGCATTTTGTGTTGGTATTGTTTTACTTTGTATAGTTAATATAGTTAGTTTGAATTAGTTAAGAAAACAATTTAATGTGCTTAAAACTAAACACGCCGTTTTAACTAATAAATAGTAGATTTACTTATACAACTTTGAACTTGCATTACAATGCAAATATCTCGAAAACTTGCTTGCCAATCATCCCTATATCATAGTTTTTCAAAACAAAAACAAAACATGACTAAAAAGAAAGTTATTGTAGGGTATAACTAGCGCCCTCTGTATATTAAGTAAAAAAAGAGAATGTATTGCTCATCTTCAAAAACCCCCGAATCCATGCTTCCATTTAGATATCTCAAAAACAACTTGACTTATTAAGAAATAATTTCGAGAACTAAACTTTAACACCCTGTATTTATCTAATGAGTTTAATCTGACATTTCTAGTTTTTCCAGTAAAACATGGACCCTGATAGATTGGCAATAAGTTTGGATGCGGTTTTTTTGCGGAAGTATTTTCTCAAAATATGCCTAGATCTCGTTAAATGTTCTGGGCAAAACGAGTTAAGTATGTGGAAGTCGCTGTTTAGAAAGAAAATGCCCCAAATTGGTTGAAATGTAGAGGCATCCGCGGAATATTATCACCTTCTTCACGAAAATATCAATGCCGAATGCGGGGCATCAATTTATACCGTAGTGGGCCCACTATATAATCTAATATTATTAGTTTACTGAAAAATATATTTTAAACAGCCGTATAGTGTATAGTGTGTATTTGAGAGCGAATAACAATGCCAAACTTCATGAATTTAGAATATTTCGATTTTATTGGGTGTAAGATAATATAGTGGCCCTACTACGGTAAAAAGTAATGCACCGCAGGTGGATGTGATATTTTGCTCATGCGTCACCCCCAACTATCTGAGCATAATTCCGAACATAATTGGCAAGCAAGCTACAAGTTGAATTTTTTCTAGAACAATCATAAGAAATACCCATTGTCAACTACTACTGTCTATAGGAGGTGCTTCTTGAACACTTTTTCAACTTAGATGTTTCTTGTGCGATATCTAGCATCTCACAGTTATTTCAATACAGGCTAAACCTATGAGCTTATGAAAGCTAACGCTTTGGGCCGATTTACAAACAAAATTATACTGACGCCAACGCGAGTGCTGCAATTCTACACTGATTTTCCACACGGTAACTCCTTTTTTGCCTGAAAATTTAATAGAATTTCGACATATTTTAAGAAAGTATTGCCGTAAAAATGCCGCAGGCAAACATGGACGATCTGTTAGCGGCTGTTTGTTAACAGCCGCAAGTCTTAAAGTGTGTTGAAACGGGTCGATTTTCGCCGTGCGGGAAGCTGATTCGATAACACCTCGCCAAAGCTGCATAGCTTCTCCAATTACACATTCGATTGAAAACGCCAGCAACCCAGTATATATTTTTGAAAATGATAACCAGAACAGGTATTTTACGTGCTGGAATATTTTTTATCTTTGATTTAAGTTCTGCAACTGATATGGAAACGCGCATTTCTCGAATAATAGACTTAAGAGCCACTAAACGAACATCATTTTTCTTATAATCTGATTCTCTTGGGTTCCATAAGCATGTTAATTCTTAAATTTTCACGTACTTAGCAGAACACACACCCGCTTTGACTTTCATGAGGCGAGAAATCGCTCGGCAAAAGTCGAATGGTTCCCTACTTTGGTGGTTGCGATTTTAAGTCGCTTCTGTAGTAGTAGATTTGATATTTACACGGACCATTTTCGACAAAGGGTCCAATCGTGTGGCAAAAATCGACCGGTGTAAACGTCAAAATTTATCATTAGAGCTGCCATGGGTTGAAAACAAAATTTTAAATCTCGCGCATGTACACGTTCAATAGACCTTCTCAAAAAAATACATAGTTGCTTCATGAGCATGAGCATAGGCCGAGCCTCTACATGTCTAGTAGCTATATGGGTGTAATTTAAGATTTGCCGATAGTGCGACCCTGCAATAGGTACAATTTTATATTGAGACTTTTTTTAGGAATCAATATATACCCGCCGAAGCTTATGCGCAATCGAAATTGGCCCAGGTACTGTTTACGAACCATTTAAATAGATTGTTAAAAGAAGAGAAAGCTCACGTGCAGGTTCATGCGGTTCATCCGGGAATAGTGAACACGGAATTGTTCAATGGAACACATCTGAAAAGCATCGCTCCTTGGGCGCCGAAATTATTGTTCAAGGTGAGCAACTTCAAAGTTAATTGTCGACTAAAAAAATTTAACTTTTAACTACTACCAACTAAGAAACTCTGACAATGGTGTATAAAAATCTATTAACAACAATTGAATTATTGTTGAAAACAGTTTTCTACTAAATTTTGAACTGTAAACATTAATGTGACGTCATCGGTTCCTAGGCAAAAACATTGTTTATCTCGCACAGGCCACGTTGTTTTGTTATGTTCGAGCTTTTGTTTAGGCGTATTTGTAAACTAACTCTATATTTTTCACACACAGTAATGCGAGGTTTAGACTGGTCGATTTTCGCCGTGCGGCAAGTTGATTCGATAACGCCTTGCCAAAGCCGCATAGCTTTTTCATTTACACAGTCGATTGAAAACAAGCGACTCAGTATATAGATTTTTGAAAATGATGACCAGAAAATATGTTTTGATTTAAGTTCTTCAACTGATATGGACAGACGCATTTCTTGAATAATCAACTTAAGAGCCGCTAAGCGAACATCATTAAGCTTGACAAGCTTTGACTTTCACGCTGCGAGAAATTGACTAGAACTGAATCATTTTCACGGTCGATTTTAGTTACCCGTCGCATGCGTCCTATGATCACTTTGTAAAAGTCCAATGGTTCCCTACTTTGGTGGTTGCGCTTTTAAGTCGCTTCTGTATGGTCGATTTGATATTTACTCGGACGATTTTGGCCGCAAGGCCTAATCGTGCAGCAAAAATTGACCCGTGTAAACCCCGCGTGAGCACTGATTTCTAATAATTCCATTTTCGATATTTACATATTGGCAACTGTCATTGATTCCTACAGAAACAGCGCCATAACCTAACAATTAAATTAAGATTAATCTATTTAATTTTACAGTAATAAAAACGTGTAACTCGTATATATTAACTAAAAATTCATCGCAGACTGCTGAACAAGGAGCCGCGCCCATTCTTCACGCTTGTGTATCGCCCGCGCTTGAAGGTACAGGTGGTACCTATATCCATAATTGTAAAGTAGTGCCGCCCAGCGCACTCGCGCAGTCCACGGAACTTCAAGAAAAGCTATTCAGTTTTACCAAAGACTTGTTGGGTATAAAGCAATTTGGGGTGGAGCCCTAAACCAGCCAAATAAAAAGTTTATCACTCTTATTTATTTATAATATCTATTAAGTTGTAGGCTTTAATTGTTGGGTAAATACACCACATTGATTATACTTATCAATATTTTTTTCATATCCTATCCTATCCATTGCCAATTAATTAATTAGTTAGATTTCTTTTGTTTCTTGGTGAACTGAACTTGGTGTAATTAATTAGGAGAGAATTAAAATATTTTAAAAATCCTTGTAATTTTGCTATGCTACAGTGTTTTTACTGGTTACAAATTCTACTAATCACTGACTTTTTCCGAGCTCTTTAGTGTGATATTTACTAGTACTGCAGTGATAGAATTTCCCAATTACACTGATTAAATTAAAAATTAAATATGGGTAAAGCAATAATAAAACCTTTTATTAATAAATATAGCTAATTATTTTCATTTAAATGTTTCTTTGGCTTAAACTAATGCAAGATTATAAAACAACCTCCACCGATTTTATATATATATAATAACAAATTAACAGAAGCGCATAAAATTTAACAAAAATTAAGTAGGTACCTCTGGCTTTAATGGAAATGCTTATAAATGCATCGTTAACTAAATTAAGGAACTAAATATATAAATTGATTGATCATTTTATCTTGACATCTCAACACTTGCATTTCCATTTTCACTCAGAATTATCACATTGAGAACCATCATTGAAAATTATTATCTACAAAACATTTATCAATCTGTCTGCATTACCTTGCGCATACAAAATTAATAGATGGAGTAATAAATAATTAAGCATGAACACCAACAGTCTTGACACCAATTAAAAAGAATGGAGACATCGCCTGACCTCTAGTGTTTGCATGATAATGAATGACATTTATAAAATTGATACCCTAAAGTTTTGTCTATGTCATCTGATACAATCACAAAACCACAATCAATTACAATAATGACAGGATGAAGTAAATCATGTTAATGGATAAAACTGACTAGATTTACAATACTTTGTTTACAAATTAGAGAAACAACCCAAAAACTCACATGTCAACAAACATTGAAAGAATGTCTGGCACTTTTTAAATAGTTCTGACCTATTAACGTAACATACATACAGAGCAGTTATTGGTATGTATCATGTTATTTGGTCACTCGAAATTTTTAAATAAATCATGTCAGAAAAAATTGGCATTAACATTGGTTATCCTTAATAGACAATTTTATTGCAACCTACTACAACAATTATTTGACTCGGAACTGTTGGAATCATTGATATTTTGATTGTTCTGGTCATATCTGGGAGTCTCTCTCGTTCTGGCTTGCTAAAATATTGCGAAATGAAAAAAGAATAAAAATGCTCAAACTGGCTGCCTACCTTCATTAAATCCTCAGCAATTTTCATAAATAACTTTTCTACATTGTCCGACTCCTTGGCAGATGTTTCCAAAAAATACATGTTGTGTCTCTCTGCAAACTCCTCTCCTACATGGGTGGGAATTTCTCTATCCTCTCTATCAATTTTATTTCCTACAAAATGCAAACAAAGGCACCAATTACACACGAATAAAAAAAAAAGAATAGTATATAATATAAAAATCTTATTACTTGTTAATAAAAACAAACAGGTTTTGGAATTTGTGACCCAATTCACTCACCCACTAGAATCCTTAACACTTTGCTACTAGCATATTCTTCAATTTCACGCAACCAGTCGGGCAAACAGTCAAATGTTGGTTGACATGATATATCATAAACCAATATAAGAGCATGAGCAGATCTATAATAGCTCTGAGTTATTGACCGAAACCTTTCTTGACCTGCAGTATCCCAAATTTGCAACTGAAGAAAGTCAGAATGTCACTAGTTAAACAAAAAATTTATAGTTACTACTAACCTTCACTTTTTCGCCTCCAACGTCAACGCTCTTTATCATAAAATCTACCCCGATAGTAGCCCCCTGCCCTGGGGGAAACAAACCTTGGGTAAAACGTCTTACTAGGCATGTTTTACCAACACCAGCGTTTCCTACAAGAACTACTTTAAAAAGAAACTTGTAGTCGTCCATGGCTTAAATATTCTCAATAGTCCCATCCAAATATGGCCAACGAGTCATAACTCCCACAATATAACAACTTTGAATAAATATTAATTCTAGAAAAAGAACAGTAAATGTTAAATAAATATTAAGGATTATGTTCAAACCTTCAAAATATTTCAAAAAATCACGCTAGTTGTACTTTCAGATATGTGCAATCAATTAACCATTTCGCTTCGCCGTTACACTTCACATAATTTTAAAATTAAGCTAGCGTAACATTCATAGCGTTTAGAGAAACCTTACATTTCAAGTTAAAAACAACTTGACTTGCACAGCTGACGTATGTTCGAAAGGTGTGTTCATAGATCCATGGAATAAAATGGCATTTGTCAAAATTCGAGGATGGTATATCTCACAACAAAAGTATTGTTAGAAATGACGTCATTGCCTGCTTGACGTTGCTTTTACCCGCGCTCATTTTGGTTTTTTTACGTGCTGTTATCAGTGCTCGTATTTTTCAGACTGTATGTTTTAAAATGTTGTTTACTTTGCAAGGTTAACAGACAAGTATAATTTATAATTTGAAATATGTATAGATAGATAAAACGATCTTATTTACTTTTACATGATGCCCATGGTTTTATTGAACACTTTGTATATTTAAGGAGCTAAACTGTTTTTATTGGATTTATAAGATTACAAATCGGTGAAATACGCTCGACCTTGATTTGAACGTCAAACTGGTTTATTGCAGAGAAATCTGGGACATCCTACACATATGGAGTGCCATTAGATCATCGTATAAAATTTTTATCTTCTTTATTTGTTTCGATTTAGAGACAGAGGACGTAAAATTGATGCCAGAAATTAATACATATACACAAATTATACATAAATAAATCAAATGCTCAATGTAACATCCATAATAAATGTTGTGAAATCTATTAAAATGTGGACAATACATCGGTCCTTCCGTAACTTGAACTTGAAGTTCTCTTGAGGTCTACGGACGGTATTAGTGGCTTAAATTTCAATTCATAAGCCCCGCATAATCGGAATTGAAAACTAATAAATCCAGCTGACGCGACGTGTTTGTTGACATTTGTCGTTTATCGCTACCTACCAATAGTATTTTGCTATGTTGTCGCACATTGCAAATGGGAAATCAGTAACGGCAAACAATTCTTACGGACAACAACTTTTCGGCACTACTGAAGATAATCTCGTCGCGCGCAACGGCTATAGTTTTGCTTCGCTTGGTTGCTGTTGAAATATTGTTACCATATCTTCAATAATGTATAATTTTCAAGCTATGTCTAAGTTGTGATAATTGATTTTTCTACCAATAAATACGATTTCGGCTCTAAGACTATTTTTTAAATTCATGGTAAGTGCACATGTATTCAATTTTTAACTGAGACGTCAGTGCAACCAAACAGATATAACTATATACTTTGAAAGTGGTGTCATTATCATAAAAGCAGTTTATTTTTAAACTTTTTAATTCAATTCCATTACCCGGTTCGCGTTATTTGTTGGTTATGTGTAGTTACGTTTCCTGCTTGCGGTCAATTTGATATCGCAAATTGTCCGCGTTTGTGCAAGTTTAAAAAAGTAATAGGTTGTAACGGACGCGAATTTCCATTAAAAAATGGAACAAAAAGTGACGTGAATTGGTCATATCCATCCAGGTACGCGTTTTACATTAAATATTTACTATTACTGACTAATTTAAAGATACAAGGCGTTCAAAAAAACTATTTTATATGGTTTTTTTAATATATTTTTGTACAGCGGAGACATGGCAATCAGACGAAATTCGGGATATTGGGCATGTTGATGACGAGAAATTGAAATGTTAATTTAGTTTTTTGTTTAATGCTTGAGGGTGCCACATAAGATGTTGTTAATTAATTTATATGATATATTTTATATGAAAGAAGCTTTTACAGTCACAGTCTACACTAATACTATTTGCAAATCTTCTGGTTTCCACCTGCGTCGGTTTTTGAAATTTTGTAATTTGGATCAATTTCCAAGTTTTTCAAATATAAGCGAAAATAGGCATCTTTAATTGATTGTATTATCAGGTAAAAAACTTAATTAAAAAATAGTTAAACTTACACGTCCTTAATTATTATTTTTATTTATATAATCCATTATTATGTTATTATGTATATTATATATAAGCAAATTTGTTTCTATTTCTCTTCTCTTCATATCTTTCCCAATTTGTTTTATCTATTCGTCTAGAGGTTTTATTCCATATGACGGTTGGCAACATAAAATTCTTTTTGGTCAACAGTTCGTACCACTTTAGTCACTCCGTTTTATTTCAGTGTTTATTATTCTTTGAAGGGTAATTTAGAAAATTTCTCGATTAAAGCAATCAAAAAAATAAAAATACCTCTATATTTTTTAAAGATTTTTTTCATTTTCATAAAATGGAACATTTATAATTTTTTCTACTCCCGTCTGTAAAATACCTAATTACACACCGATTTAGCGCGCGGGAAGCATCACTTTACTACGTCAGTTTGGTTTCCCACGGATCCGAGCTACTTTGAACATTTCCGAGATTTTACTGCACGGGATTGGGAGCAATCGGATGTTTTCGGATATATTTCCCACGCCTTGAATTTTGACTTTTGTCAATTCTGACAGTCGTGTTGTTTTGCGAGAATGTACCGAAAAACTAATGATCCTAGAAAAAGTATAGTACGCAACACGATAAAATTTTTAAGTCTCTCAAAATAAATAAGAACTAAAATTCAGATTTTCACGAAATTATATATATTCACATGACAATTGTGACATTTGTCGAAACAATTGTCATGTGAATATATATAATTTCGCGAAATTCTGAACTTTCAGTTCTTATTTATTTTGTTAAATGGATTTTCATCATGTAAAAGCCACCTCAGTTCAATTTAAATCACTCGTTTTATAGACTCGTAAGTGAAATGCCGTTTACCGCACTTATTGCATAATATACTATTACGTCATTATATTGTATCTGCTAAATGTTTTCCGAATCCATATAACACTTTACTATTCATTTTTAATTTTAGTTGTTGAAGTAAAATTTATTATTTTAAAGAGTTTTACTCATAACTGTGCAATGCTTTTATATATTCATAGTTTTGTCTGTTGATGTAGATTATTTGACCACAATTTACTTACAACTTGCTTTGCTAGATTGATGAGGTAGTTTTGCTAAAATTTAGTTTTCAACCAGTCTCACTATATGTCTAATATCTTTTATTTCATGCGAGTTATTCGCGATGAGGATTTACTCATCAGCAACTTCCATCTATATCCAGGCACATTTATTTTGCAAGTCCTTGACAGTCTCTTTGATAGATATTTACAAAAAGTGGTAGAGATGAGATTATTTGCGCTTTTGGAGTGGAACCATGTCAAACAAATTTCCAAATCAAGAAAAATAAGATATGTTTTTTCGTTCCACACTGCACTTTTTGATCGATTTGCTGGGAAACACCACTTTGTCTCATACAGTCTTCCGATGATCGCTGTTACGCTGACATCTCTATATTTCGTAGTACCATGTTTTAAAGCCTTTTTATATATTGAAGATAAGTATGGTATTTTCGATTGCTTTGGATGATTTGTTATATTCATCAAACATTTACGCAGTTCCACTAACCTGAGGCTTTTTCATTATTTTTTTTTTTCTTAATGCCTGCTTTATTCCATCTCTCGTTATTTCTTCTCTAATAATTACTTCGGCAACATTATTTTTCTCTTCGCCCTGTCAGCACATCATGATATTAATTTCCCCACTCTTTCAATGTTATCCAGTAAAATTTGAGTCTATTTTTGCCTTCTTGTCTTATGCAATTTATTGTTTACTGAGTTATTTTTTTCTTTGGTCCCCCGTATGTCATTTTCAATCTACTATTTCTTCCCAAGTTTCACTTTGAGCCTTCTTAACTGCTTTTTTCACTTCTCAGTTTCATCTAGCAGCCAGTTTTCGATATTAATAGTTGTAGTACCCAGCCACAATTACTATAGTTTCTGTTTTTCTTCTGGCAGCTTTTAGTATCCTCATTTCACCAGAAATCTCACTCTCTGCTCTTCTAATTTATAAGCCGCTTCATGTAATGCCTTTGAGATTCTCATTAATTAAGTTTGCCGTGGTGTTTTATTCTACTGTGGCTATCTGGTAGAGAAACTTCAGAGGAGAGAGGAAAAAGATGCCGCTTGCACATTGCTCTGCTACTATTTTGAGATTGGAAAAATTCTGTAATCAGATTTTGGATAGCACCTGTCATCATGACCTACAAGCGAAAATTGATATATTTTAAGCATTTGCCATATCTTCTTTATTGTGAAACATATTTTGATTTTGTAATTACTTGTTAATTGTAACTTATCAATAGAAATTAAAAAAAAACATGAATTCAGAGTTTTATTACCCCAGAGCTATCATCAGGGCATCTTAAACATGGACCTATTTCCCGTAATGCAGATTCGTTTTGGTTTGGTTTCTATAATGGTTCAATTTAAATTATATTTTTTTCAAAAATATTATCTTGTAGAGTTTTGGTAGTATGAAATTTTATGTTTATTATTTTGTTTCCTGATATGCTTACGATAAAATTTTTATTTCTTATGAATTATATCAATATATTGCTACAAAATAAGTATAATTCTCTAGTTTAAGTAGCATTATTATTAGATAATAAACTTATACATCTTTATTTTAGCTTGCTCTGAATGAATGAAATGAATGAATGCATTATTTTGCAATTCAGTGCAATAGTTTTAAAAAATGAACTGTTTGTTGCCTTAATACGCAATAAAATATCAATTGTTTTGGAATATTCTGGAACAACAGCATTTTTTCAGCAAAACGGCTCTAATCTCACTGATCTTGTCCGGGTTTGTAAAACCCTGTTTATCTAGAAACTTCGGAAATAAATTTGACTTTGTCAGATGTAATATAAATTTACTATCCTTGAACTTCCAATACATTGCCTCGTGATTTGAAGAAATAAATGCATTCATTGCTCTGCGGTTGGATAAACACGCAATTGTTATTAGGTTTTATTAATAATTAACTATTAGTTTAGATGAAGTATTATTCGATTTTGAAAATATCTAATTTTTCAAAAAGTTGAATTTTGTTGATACATTATTATATGTTTCTTAATTGGAATATTATATTTTTTAGTTATATACTCAAATGTAATCTTGTACAAATTAGGCTTCTCATATTACCAGTATACACCTAGAGTAAGGTTTCGTTACGGAATAAAACATTTTTAAGTGGATGTAGAATACGAAAACGATATTTTCATTTTCCACGCAGTCTCTTCGAAGATTTTCTGACGTTTCTTTGGGAAAAATGGAAAAGTAACCCTTGCTGAGCGAGCGGTTGTGGCACTATAAAAATCGAGCAGCTGCATTCCTCAAAAAAATGTTTTTAATGAATGCCAACCTTCTCTTGAACCTTCATCGCTAAACAGGAAATTGTTTTATTAGCGCATTTACATAATTTGTACTAATGTTGCTGTGTATTTTCTGGTATTATAACATTTCTCTTTTAATCTGGAAAACTTATTCGACTGACATTAAGTTCATTATTCACTATTTCACTTGATGACTGAGATGAACTCGTGAATAAACAACCAATAGTTTTGCGGAAATTCCCACAGAATATGGCAAACGTTGAGTATAAAAGGGGTTTTCCTAAAACACAAACTAACCAAAACACTCTCTGCATACCTAGGACTTAAATTTGAATAAAATTGTTTTTCTTAACATTATTTCCCCCAATCATTAATGGTGTGTTAATCTTAATTGAAATTAAAACAATTAAATTTAACTTAAAATTTTTATTTTTGTGCTGAAAAATGCACTAAATTAATATATTTACCAACCATAAAATGTCTAAAAATTTGCAGGTCAAATACTTTTTAAATTTATCAAACTTTTTGAATTTAGAGGGTGGTCTATATGTTTTCATTATTCGTAAAAGGACTTCTTTTCATTCAATTCACACAATATATAACATTATAATTTAAGACAAAAAAAATTATTAACGCTCTTTTTTGCAAGCGGTACTTTTTCTACAGAAAGTAAAAATTAAAATGTCGTTCTGATTTTTATCGTTCGTTTTTACGCAAAACACAACTTGAGAATATGTGTTTCTAGGTTTATAAAAATATGCAAATAGTAATAAATTTAACCGTCTCGATTAGTAACACACAAGTCCGAGTAATTTGAAACGATATTCGATATATAATTTGAGATCGATGACACTGAAAATACGCTATTAAAAACCTTTCGTTCCGCTAGTGTCGTCGATAACCCCATCAGCTGAGCCTACCACGTGGTGTGCGCGTGAGTGTCATATGATCCTCCGCCGAGTATCGATCATCATCAGTGTTTGCCGCTTGCAATGTTGTCGCATTTGCAAAACCTGAGACATTCTGACGTATCAGCAATATTTCCAGTTTTAACACGCATATGTTTTTTTCACTGAACAGCAAACAAAAAGCTAGTCAGTTCTATATTTTCCAGACGTTCCTCTAAACATATGACGAAGGTATTCTAAACTTTCATTTCTACAAAGAAAACTATACCTTTACAACAATACTAACTTCTTTATTTATGAAAATTGAAGCGTATTTATAAAAAAAGTAAATCCCAGCTTTTTTAATAACGTGTGCCAGAGCCATTTATTGCATCCTCCTTGACTTGTCTAAAATTACATAGCAGATGTGTTCTTGAACGATAAGTTCCCATTCCTCTAATAGGGATTGTTGAAGCTCATTTAAAATGAATGGAGCACGACTTCACATGTTCAACTGGATTCGCATCTGGACTTAAGGCACTGCAAGGCAGGAATGATTGTTGGCATTTATCATGCACCAGAATAAAATTGTCTTCAATAAAATCAACACAAGGAACAACGAAAGCATCATTCAGGTACCTGACAGCAGTTAAAGAGCCTCTTGGGATGATGTGACTCCAAAGAAAGTTTTGGTTTACACGATAAATGGTATGGTACCCTAGGACTAAAAGTAAAGGCAAAAGGTTCTTGTGGTTTATGTCATATCCTCTTACGAACATTTGGAGATTATCAGTAAGCAAAATGTGACCCCTGGCGGACTAAGAAATTCTGGTGCCGCTGCGAGTGTATGACTAGCCAGACTGGCTTCTTCAAGTTTTCGTCTATGTCTTCTGCAGTAGGAAGGAGCTAAGCAAATCTGGAAATTAAAGTATTAAACCCATAGTTTATTATGACGGTCGGCAGGTGGAAACTGTCAGTTACTCTGGTAGTTCTAGGTAGAATATTTTATGAAGAATTTCTGGAGATGAAAACTTTCACGTGTAGAAGTTTATAGAAGGTTATATGACCTTTCGATTTATAGTGCACTGAAATGGAAACCATATTCAGCTTAGCCAGTAGTTCCGCAAAATTATAATTTTCATAACTTGTGTTCAACCCTTTGAAGAGAATCCCAATGTGCCATAAAAATAAGACCACACGTAAGAGACATAGTCCAGATGGTTGCATACTGGGGCGCAATATAAGGTTCTTAATCCTGAAATATTATTGAAGTCTTGGGTACTCCTGCTAATAGACCCAAGCATCTCTAAGATCCTTGATAAGGGAAACTTGGTCAAGGAATTGTGGAACAATTTGGAAATAAATTTAATAGAGAGCGAAAAGATAACGGGTTTACGTTGAGAAGGGTTTCTATTACATCAGTCAAGAAGACTATTGAGATCATATTGCAGTTTGCCACAATCAATAAGAGATCTAATTATACTGCTCATTTTGAAGTTTTCAGCAAACAGTTGCACCAAATGGAGACAAAAGGTAATCTATGTGAATTAAAAGATTTAACCCCGTAGATTTATACAACCTGAAGCCAAACTGTACGGTTTCATCAGATATATTTCAGGAAGCTTTCCTTAAAAAATCTGAAAAAGCGCTAGTTTTTTTTTACATTTTTATGGAAGCCCAATTTTTCCTTTGAAATAAGCGTTTCATTGTTATAAATATGGAGTGAAGAAAAGTGCATTTTTTGTCTGCGTTTTTATTCATTTTGTCCAATAGTAGAGAATTTTTTTCATTTTCTGGCCAAATAAAGACCGTGTACGGCCGTTTTTGACAGGGCTGTTTATTAGTTTATTGCATTACAATGGGGCCGACGTAGGTACTTCACCGTTTTCTTACATATGAATAGATTCATAGAATTCCCCAGGATAAACCCACATAAACCAAAATGTTCTTTGTTACATTGATGAAGTAATATTGCAAACTGAATCCGATAGTATAGTCAGTATGATTTGTGGTGATATAGTCAGCAATAAAATGCCAGACAGAATAGAATGGATTGTTCATCTTGCTTCCACTTATCCATCAATAGATGTTGTTCCCTCCTAAATGTCTATCTGATCAATGCAAGACAACGATCATGATTATTAGAGACAGAATCAGTTGTACTTGGCATTTATTAATTTAACTAATACTAATAATAATAGATCAGGGTATTTCTTAGTGATATCCGAATATCTAAGTGGGTGAATCTACATGAAAAAATATGATAATTTATTAAAAAAACTATAGTCCGAAATAGATCATACTGTATAAAATATAATTTGCCAACCATATTTAGTTTGTATTTAAAAATGAAAATGATCCTTCATCTACGCAAGTGGTGGTACCGATATGGCAAGTGTATTCTCTTTCTCACAGTATTTTCTTTGGTAACTGTCTGTAGAGCAGCCTTCCAAATAGATACTACTTCACTATTATAGTACCTTACCTCGCTTACAATATTTTTATTAAAAAATATTTTGCACTGAGCCCACACCAATTCTGTGACATTAATGTATAATATCAAGGAGGCAATCTCATAACATGATGAGCCATTCCAGCAAATATTTCATCTGTAGCATATGGCAAGTTTGTTTTGTAATTTTTGACAATTTTTAACAACTCACATTTTCTGAGTAATTAATCCGCTTACTACGCAGCCAATTGATAATTTCTTATTTTCTTCTCAATGCATTGGGTACGCTTTCCATAGTAATTAAAGACGGATTTTCTAGTTTCTGTAGCAGCTTTTCAAAAATACGATTCTGTTTTGTAATGGAAACTACGTACTACGTACTAAAGTAATAGACAAAGATAGAACACTGGCAGGTTTTGCCATTCTTAGTATACGAGTGGAAGCAGTTAAAATGATGAGGCACCGTCTCTCTTGGCTTTATGACCGACTATGCCTTTGCAAATCGTACCGACATTCTTTGATATCTTCTACTTGAAACTTTTTATGTCCCTTGTTTTGAAAAGTCTCTGTGACTGTTTGTCCAGTGTTTGTTAAAATGCTGAAAACTAACTTCTACATGTCGTGAATAAAAGGCGAGATAAAGAGCTATATGGAGTTCACTTGAGATGGTACCAATATGATGAAGATATGTTTTTTGGTATAATAAGAAATTTAGGCTTTTATAAATTACATATTCAACCACATTATTGGTTGTTAATTTTAACTATTTTAATGTAAGTGTTTTCTAATCTATATTTTATTTGGTACGAGTAGGAAAGATTGTTTTAAATTAGTTTTGCTTTTTTGGATTTTACAGATTCATGCAGATAACAAGCTTATTGTGGATTAGAATGTCAACTTAGTAAAACACCAACTTAAAAGGCGAAAATTTGGAGAGATTTGTGTAAATTAGAAACACAGTTAATTCCTTAATTCCAAAACTAAAATACCGTCCAACAACTTCTGTAGATGTTGAGCGAAGTTTTTCCATTTTTATACATATATTTAGAGATAAAAGGCGCCTTGGAACATTTTAAAAACATTTGGTTATCAATTGTTTTTATAACTGCAAGAAATAGATTGTTAATTTACGAATTGTATGTGGTGCACGTTGCTATTATCTAAATGTATCAACGGTATTGATCATTGTATTATATTTTTTTTTATAATCGCAAACGTTTTGTCACTGCAGGATTATTATGTTTTAGATTATATGTTTTGCAATTTGCTATGTAAGTATCAATGTGTGTATCTATAAGTAAAAAACTTTTATTACGATGTTTTTTGTATAATTTATAATTATTCAAATAGGTCTGTGGTATTGGTAAAAAATTATATGATTTCTGAAGAACGGGTTTAATTATTATAGAATGCATTATAATCTCCTAATATTGGAGGATCGAAAAGTACTCACTGATATTCTTCCTTGAATAAAATTTCAAATGGCCGTGTAAACTATGAGATATTGGCAAGAATCACATTTAATGTAGCACCTTGACAATTTAAACCCATGCTTTTAATTATTATTCCCTTTAGAAACACCAATAACTCTCAAAATTATCCCTTGCTACTTATGCCGGATGCTGCAAACTTTCACTGTTCAGAACTGGATTTACTTACGTTCTCACATGATTCCTTAAAGAAGACACTGACCGGTAGACTATGGATCGATAATTGCTATCTGATTTGTAATCTTCTCTTGTTTTTACTTATTTACAGTTTACCACATAATAGAAAAATAGGTCAGAACTTTTTCTTTTTTCTTTCTTTTCTTTTGCCTTCTCTATGATAAGATTGACTCATTAATTAATTTTTTTCTTCTCTTTCATATTTTTCTTTTGTATTGTTATAGTTATTACCTAACCTTTGCATAATATTATGTATTTATATTTGGATTCTTGAACGGACATTGTTCTGGGTTTAACCTGTTTCTGTCGCAAAGAACAATTAAATAAATATATAAATGTTATTTATATCACCACACAATAAATTACTTTTTTTTGTATAAAATGCTCCGTTTTCCGTGGTAGTGATCTTAGACGCGGCAACAATGGACCCAAGAGCCTCCAATTTCCATGAGCTCGATTCAGTCGGTGAAGAACAACGGGTACATCCAACGCAGAATAGTTTAGCAATTGTCGGGTGCCTCACTTCGTGAGATGTGTATGTATTTCTACGTTATATGCATCACGCTGCTTTGTACTTTACGCCAGTACATTCAACCTGGTTTCCGAAAGCACGAAACATTGCGAAATGTTAGACCTCCGAAACAACCTTGAACCCGAATTTGCCTGAACGCCCTTCCGTCAAGTTTTCGGCGATCGAGTCTGCATTGAAAATCAATCTAGGCTTAATAGTTATTTATTCTAATTCTTATCGTTTATTCGGTGTTTCTCTGGATCTGCCTTACCGCAAATCATATATTCGCTTTTAACATTATCGAAACCCTGACCGGCGAAACGCACGATTTTTTTTAACTATCCACTGTTTAATAATGTACTTATTACACACGTTTTGTAATGGGTCACGCGCTCAGCAGATAAGCCGATTACTTGGCTGGCATTCGCAGTAACTGATAACGGTGAAAATGTTATCGATTATCGACAATAATTAGTAAATCACGATGTAACGGTATCGCTTGCAATAAAAATGCTGAATCTATTTTTAATAGCGTAAGACTCGTTCTGCTTGATATTTTCCGGTGGTAGGTTTAGTCTCTAGGGGTAAGTAAGTAAAGTTAGCAGCCAAGTTTTTTCCTAAAACAAAAGAATAACACTTTCTGAGATCTCAGCCTATTGATTCGCTTAGTCAGTACAGTGATGTTTTTAAGGATTCCTTGCCTAGATTAATATCGATATATAAGAAACATTACAGAATTCTTGCTTAAAATTCATCAAACTGCCAAATTTATGAGTATTTTTCTATTTCTCTTTTTTTTTCTCCCTCTCGTTTCAAAATCTCCAAATCTCTCTTGTGATTATTGTATTACATATTGTCCTGTACTTGGCGTGAACTGTTTGGCAATAAATTATTATTATTATTGTTACGATTACAGGTGTATAACAAATTTTACATTTTATTCCCCTAGGACATATTAGCAAAAATAGCACGAAAGAGTCATCCTTATTTTATTACAACAACCTACGAATGAAATATAACAGGCAAGAGTTATTATCACATTTAGAACAAATAAAAATGCGTTATATTCTTTAGTATTCTAAGTACTGCTGTAATTTTTATTTGATTTTTTCAACACATTTTTCGTAAACTTCTATTTCGTATTTTTTATCTCAATTTCAATGATTAAGGTGTATTTTAAAAAGAAAACATCATATGATCATATATAATAAATGTCTTAACATTTGTGATACAGTGTGGTAAAGTGTTTCATAAATAATTGTATTTCATAAAAATTGTATTAGTTTGCTCAATTAATTTGTTGTTAGCGGTTTAACTTGTATCTCAACCAATAATTTTTGGAAGAAATGGTCGATTTTCATCGAGAGGAATGCATTATTAGCTATGAGAATTCACAAGCAAGAGGATCCCGATAGAAGAACGCAGCCTTCTATCAATCTGATGAATCCTTTTACTCGAATTGGAAGTGAAAAGAACGAAAGATGGGAGACTATAGTGAAAGGGGGAAATGAATGTCAAGTATTATTTAGTGTCGCAGAAAACCCACATGTAAAAAATAAGATGCATCCTTATCATCTACAACTTCATCAAGAACTCGATGATAATTATTATCGGATTAGATCAACATTATGTGAATGGGCACAAGAAAGAATGTTTGACTCATTTTCATAAAAATACAATCACTGGACAATTTATATATATATATATATATATATATATATATATATATATATATATATATATATATATATATATATATATATATATATATATATATATATATATATATATATATATATATATATATATATATATATATATATATATATATATATATATATATATATATATATATATATATATATATATATATATATATATATATATATATATATATATATATTCTCACGTATTGATTCACGGATGGAAAAATGTGATGACACTATATTCCGGGATATCATCCGTTCGCTCGTTGAACTCCGACTGGAATCCTGCATCCGACTGGAATCCTGCAAATCTTGCATCCGACTGGAATCCTGCAGACGTTTCGCCAAAATCTCACTTGGCATCTTCAATGCTCGCGCTCCGAAAACACTTCGAACAGTGTTCCAGTCGCAGGATTCCAGTCGGATGCAAGATTTGCAGGATTCCAGTCGGATGCAGGATTCCAGTCGGAGTTCAACGAGCGAACGGATGATATCCCGGAATATAGTGTCATCATATATATATATATATATATATATATATATATATATATATATATATATATATGTATATATATATATATATATATATATATATATATATATATATATATATATATATATATATATATATATATATATATATATATATATATATATATATATATATATATATATAAAGTATTTTATACAATTCTAATCAAAATAACGTGCTATATTTATTATCGATTATTAAAATTAAAATATATAAGGTGTTTCATTTAACAAGATGTCCAATAGGACCAAATCTGCGAAAAGTGTTATTTGTTTTACATGTCATTTAGGAATAAATTTGGCTGCTCACTTTACATTTTATTTTTTTTAATTACCTGGAAATCTTTAAAAACAAAAAAATTTCAACCAATCAAAATGTTATTAAGGTAAAGTCAAATTATTATTATTATTATTATTATTATCGGTATTAATCAGAATAACGTGTTCTATTGAATATAAATAGGTTGAGATTCGCGAAAATGGTAAGTGGTTTGTTTTGTAAGCATCCTATTCCCATCCCCAATATATATTATATTAAAAAGTGTGGATGATAGGCCCCATCCTTGTTTCAGTGCTTTTGTTATGACTATTTGTAAATTCTTTGCCTACTTTTATTTGCCGTTTTGTATCATTATATAATCTTTTCGTTATATTCATCCATTATTCTCCAACGTTCATTCCTTTCATAGCTTCCCATAATTGTTTCCTGGGTACTTATACACACATACGCTTTTTCTAATGTCATATGTATTTCAATGTCTTTGACTTTATTCTATGACCTGTCTTATCATAAATATATTGTCCAGGCATCATCTACTGTTCCGGAATCCTGATTGTTCTTCGCTTAAATCATCCATATGTTGTTCTATCTTTTATTATTGTGGTAAAAAGTCTTGCGATTGAGGGGATGACGCTAATTCTTCTATAATTCTTAGTTGACTTATTTCCTTTTTTATATATTTAAGACATGTAGTACAAATTCCATTTGTAGTAACATCGAGTAGTTTTCTTTCCACTCATTAGGTGGAATCATTTGTATAATATTCTTGTGCTTATTGTTGCTTCTAATATTTTTTTCCATGCTTCCCTTGATCTATTATAGCCCATTGTGTTGTCTACACCACTCCATATATGCATATATTTTCCCATAACTTTGGAAACCAATGAGATAATGAACGTTACTCTATAGTTCACTCACTCTATACATTACAGCTTTTCTATAAAATTGATTTATTCTTACAATGAAGATTTTTATGATTGTTATCAGCTAAGTGTACTCTAATAAAATTTTAAACTTTTACTTAACAAAATTGGTATGAACAAAAATTAGTGTGGGGTCCAACTTGACTAATAGTTTCTTTTTCGTAGAAATTAATTTACTGGATTCGATCAAAATTTGCAGATCAAGATTGGCGATGAAACATTTTTCAGGATGATTACACATCACACAAGTATTTGCAAAAATCTTTTTTCTGCAAAAACTGAGAGGGAGTATCTGCTATTATCTTTTATTCCAAACCCCTTTTGCTTCAATTGCCGATTTTATTTAATATTTCGAGTACAGTAGCCATTTCCGTGGTTTTTCATAAAACAATAGGTTTTAAAATCGGGTGCCATATATTAAGAATAGGTCTAAAACACTTATTTATGTATTGGTTTTTCCACAAACACTCATTCGCTTGATCATAAAAACGGTTATTTTTCTGCTATCCTTAAATTTTCGAATTTTAAGTGATATTTATACAGGGCAGTTCAAAAAACTTTACTCCACCCTCATAGAAAATGCTCTGCGCATTTTTCTAAGTGACGTCGAAATCGGCAAAATATATATAAAGTTCCTAGGAATTCACATAAATAAATGAATGTCAGTGACTCTGTATGTACAAAATTAAGCCCCGTAGGTTATGCTATCAAAATAATCCCTAGAAGACATAAATGATAGAGCAAGCTTTAAGCAATTGCAAGTAATGTCTAACATTTAACCGAAATAAAATAAAGTGATTATACCCAACCTAAACTATCATCCTACCGAATCGCAGATAATGGAGAAAGGATCTTATTATAAAGGCATTAAGATATACTGCCTGTCCAAGATAAGGATTGTAAAAATGAGAATCTCAGTGCCGGAGAGAAGAGATATCAAAACATTGGCCAGTGTTCCGACAAAGCGTATATTCCCAGTACCGTAATATTTTTCTGCATGATGGTCATATTCACCTCATCACCTCATCCATTTTATATTGTTTTTATGTTTTTTATGTATCATAATCGATATTCCTCTTTTCGCTCTTTCGTGCTTCCCTGATACTCAACTGCATTTCCCTTTAGCTTGTTTCTGCGAACACTCTAACATCTATGTATATATCCGGGGCAATTGCGTTGTATCTGCCCTTTATTGCTTGAGTATTCCAAGTTCTACAATTCATGATCCCTTTCCGTAGCTTGTGTCTTAGATTATACCTGGCCTGAGTTCCGAGACTTCGGTTGGGCTTTTTGGTAATGCTAGATTTTTTATGAATGTCAGGAAACTCGCCTGACGCTCCTACCACCAACTTGGAGGATCAGATTATTTTTACTTCCCTTTGATTTTGGCGTTCATCACCTAACTGCAAGGTAGCAATGTTATGTCCTCAGTTGATATGCGGATGTTCTTTTGGCAAGCTTTATTCACATATATGCTGCATATCTACAGGACTTTCCCTATTATCCAATGTCCGCCCGCTCCGTTTTACACAAAGTATTGCAGAATCCGTACGCAGAAATATAACACGTGATACATTGAATTTGTAATTAAAAATAGAATCAGATATGGTGTTACTACTTAATATAAATAACTTACTTATTACTACTTAATATAAATAAAAACACAATAGAATACAATTCTGTAAAATGTATTAACGTAAAATGTATAAACGTCAAGAAAGCTACATATTCACTTAAAGAATACTTTATTCAATTAATAGATTAAGCGTTGTTTTCTGCTTTAATTTATTTGTACTTTTAGTTTTGTGATAGCGAATTCAAATAAAATTTTTGTATTATTCTACAAACTTTTTGTCGGTTTCAAATGCTGGATCGGTGGCAATTTCGAATGTTTCAGATTTAATCGCACCATGTTTGTGGAAGGAAATAAGCTCGTACCACCAGACGGAGGATGGGGGTGGATTGTCGTCATCGGTGTTAGTGCCGTTAACGTAGGCGTAGTGTGGTACGGTTATATGCCATGATAACTCCTAACAAATTTTTAGCTATGTACCAGATCAATAGAACAATCCTTTGGCCTTTTGTTTGGGGACTTACTGCACGACTTGGGGGTCGAAACAACCGGTGCCGCGGTCATCATGAGTACCTTAGACGCCCTTATTAATTTTTCCGGATTATTTGTTGGACCTCTGATTCGAACGTTCTCGTACAGGAAGGTTTCGATAATCGGATCTATACTGGTAGCGGCGGGTTTGACACTTACAAGCCCCGCGAACAGTATGGCGCACATTCTAGCAACCTACAGTATTATAAATGGTAGGTTTAAATTTACACTGTTGATCATACAGTCCATCAAAAAAAATCTCTATATACTAAACAGTTTTCATTAAGACACGTCTTCAATTTTCGTAAGTATTAATTAAAAGCAAATGATATTTTTAAGTATTTAAATACGATTTATCTTTAGACGTCTTAAAATTAAATTTAACAGTTTAACCAACTCATAGTATTTATAGGTTACGTTGGAATTTCATTGTTGACTATTTTTTTGTTGTTTTGGCACAGCTTTTCCTCACACTAATCCTTATTTGGTTGAAATGTTTGAGTTTATTTTTATTAACGGTTAACCAAATTATAGTTTTGATAGGTTAACATTGGAATTCGTTATTGGCTATATTTTTATTGTTTTGGAAGAGAATTTCCTCATACTAATCCTTATTCTTTAAATTTAACAGTTTCGCCAACTCATAGTATTTATAGGTATAAACGTAGGTACGTTACGTTGGAATTTCTTTGTTGACTATGTTTTTGTTGTTTTGGAACAGCGTTTCCTCATACTGATTTGGTTGTAACGTTTAGGCCTCAGTGTGTTCTAAAGAAAAAATATTAATACACTAAGTTTGTCAAACACCCTATATATTTCTTTCACATATTTTTCTTAAAACTCTTTTCGCTATTAACAACTAGGTTCCCAGGACGGGTCTCAAACGGAAATCTGTCATTTGTTTTATAAAAACGGGAATCAGGCAAAATTGGTCAAAGACGGAATGGTGTGTGCTTCGCAATAAGATGCTAATCATTTTTCAAAGAAACGTCCACAGACTACTGCAATACTATTTGAAAATCTTCTGACGTGATTCTTCGGAGCTTCACTGAAACTGGCTCGCATTCTATTCTCTCTCTGCTCATATTTTGTTTGAGTTGGGCGCGGGACACAAACACAAGTTGTCAATCTGGTTTTAACGTTATGTTTTTTAAGAACTGTTGATATGAGGTCAGTGATGTTTTGAATGTATGGAAGGATAACAGTAGCAATTGTGGTGTTGGTTTCGGACTGATTCTCTTTAGAAGGTTGTGGTGAAGTGTATCTTGTTAAGTCTGATTTTTTATTGATAAGAATATCTAAGAACGAGAGATTATTATTGATTTCTAATTCAATGATCAAACGTATGTTAAAGGATTCTTGATCCTCAGGCCAAATAAAAAAAGTATCATCAACAAACGTCATTTACAGCTGTGGGTTCTCCATTATCACCATTCATCGCGAATATATTTTTACAAGCCTTTGGACACCTTCCATCCATAGAAATCTATAAGCAACCAAACACGATTCTGGTCTTTCCACCTTTCACCACTATGGGAATCAGTCATATATATTCAGGTACAGAGTACAACGCGAGCCAGTTTCAGTTAAGCTCAGAAGAAGCCAACAGAATGATTGGCGAAACCTCAGCAAGTTTGATTTGTAACAAATTTATTTTCGGAAAAAGTAGTGCCGTAGCATTGCTGAAAGTTGAAAAATAATTTTCACACGAGAAAACGGGTTTCTATGCATTGTGGTCCTACCAAATTTGAACATAATATCAAAAAAACGGTTTATATGAAATGCGTATACAGGATATTTTGAAAGTATTATAAAAACGCACTTTCCGGGTATAGTTTTATTTTTAAAAAATTAGTGGACGAGATAAATTATTTTAGAACAATAATTTAGTTTAGTTTGCATTGCTTTAGATTATATTTTTTATTTGTAAACCGTAAGCATCATCAAAAAACAGCAAGAGAGTTGCATAAGTTTTTCCTTAAATTTAGTTAAGCAGAATGATAAGGGTAGTCTAATTCGATCTCGTCCACTCATTTTGTAAAAAATACGCAGTAAGCGTGTTTTTATAGTAGTTCTATCTATTTTCGTTTTTAAGATAAAAACATAATTTTTCCGTCGCATTTGTGTGATATGTTCCTAATGGTTGATTAGTTAAGTTACATTTACCTCGAAATGCGTATTACAGGAATTTACTACTTCAACTGGTAGAAATATATATGTTTTTTTACTTTGAGGTAATTCAAACTTTCAAATGGAAAGATAATTCAACATGTTTCTAATTAAGTTCCATTTGGAAGTTTATCCTAAAATTTCTGAAAGTGATTATAAGCTGACGTTGTTGTTGTTGTCGTTTCTTACCTTTGTGTATTTTCTTGTGGTATTTCAAACTTTGTGGTAATTTTTAATCGGAAAGGGGAGTAAAACTTACCTTGTAGTCGCTATTAAAATTACTATCATCATTATTACAAAGAAATATACACTTAGAAGAGATTGAAGTAATTACGATCGTTAAATATTACTTTAAAGTAAGCGATTCAAAGTAATTTTCGTAGTAACAATTCCGTTCCACACACTTTAGAAACTGGCTTTGAAGTACCGAAACTATAGAGTTCCGTTTGTAGTGATAATTAATACGTAATTACTCGAACTCACTAATATAGAGTAATGAAAACTTTAAAGTGGTCTTCAAACTTAAGTTTTTCTCATTTATTTCTACGCAACTTAGGTCTGGGAGTTGGGCTGACCGCCTCGGCTACCTTCGTGGCGCTCAACAACTATTTCGTGAAACGCAGAGGTCAAGCTATAGGTCTGTCCTTAGCTGGTACTGCTTTCGGTATGATGTTAATGCCGCAAGCCGTAAGACTTCTGCTGGACAGTTATGGATTCCGGGGTGCCATCTTGATATTAGGGGGGGTCGCTCTGAACTCCTTGGTCGGTTCTACACTACTCCAACCGGCCGAATGGCATTTCGTGCCCGACACAAAAGACGAAGAGGAGGGCGGCTTTCATCAGGTATGTTTATAGAGGCGCGAAGCGTTAACAAAGTAACGGTAATTAATTTTCCTTTTTACTGCTGCAGAGAATTCATTTCTTCTTTGCATCCAATGAGGTAACCATTTAATTATGCATGAAAATTCTAAGCGCGGACCATTTAACCCTTTCCAGCCCAAATTTAAATTTAAACAATAAGCCGAAACTTTTACAAATTTCAGTTAATTTTAAGATTTAAATTGTATATATATATATATATATATATATATATATATATATATATATATATATATATATATATATATATATATATATATATATATATATATATATATATATATATATATAATGACACTATATTCCGGGATATCATCCGTTCGCTCGTTGAACTCCGACTGGAATCCTGCATCCGACTGGAATCCTGCAAATCCTGCATCCGACTGGAATCCTGCAGACGTTTCGCCAAAATCTCACTTCAATGCATTGAAGATGCCAAGTGAGATTTTGGCGAAACGTCTGCAGGATTCCAGTCGGATGCAGGATGTATTGAAATTCTTAGATCAAAATTTTACATGACAGATTCACTTCATTAACTTTGCAAACCAATCAGGTAAATTTCCAAGAATTTTACACTTTTCAGCACATTTTATCCACATTTGGAATAGGTTTAATGGAAAAATGTTTAACAGAATAAAAAACATACCCGCAAACTGTTGATTAGAATTTTAGGATGTTTGGCCATAAACTTATTTGGAAAAAAGCTATACTACCTTTCTTTTTACAATTTTAACTTTCTACTGAGTCCCGTATCGTAGTAATAAGCTAAGCTAAGAAGCTATGTTTTGGTCGAAAAAGAGAAGCAAATAATTGTTTTCTCTAACACCACTAAAGACAGATATAAGAACGTATTAGTCCAAAATAATCATATAGTATTGGCGGATTGGAAAGTGCAATAATGTACATGTTTCGTTTTTTAAACAAAAAGACATTTTGCTAACAGCGACATTGTTGTAATATGCAACAAGTGTGGTTAACGGCATTTGAGTCACGAGTTTATTTGGCACGAGCGAAGCGAGTGTTTAATAAACGGTTAGTTAGTTAGTTTTGGTCAGTTTTTAGTGAGCAAATAGTCTTTGCTTTCACACTACCAACCAATTCTTTTTAAATTCACTTCTTTCATTTGCTTGCTTCCTTTTAATTAATTTTTCATTTAATTTTGGTTACCTTTTAGTTGTTTTAGTTTAATTCTTCCACCCAATTCCATTTAAATTCACTTAGTTCATTTCCTTGATTCTTTTCCTTCATTTTTTTAATTATTTTTGGTTAGTTTTTAGTTCAGTTAGTTTATATTTAAATTCATCACTTCCTTCATTTCCTTGATCTCTTTTTCTTTATTTTTAGTTAGTTTTGGTTACTTTTTAGTCAGCTTAATTTAGTAACCAAATAGTTCTTTCTTTCACACAACCGTTCAATTCTATTTAAATTCAATTCCTTCATTCTCTTGATTCCTTCTTCTTCATTTTTTGGTTGGTTTTGGTGACTTTTTAGTTTATTTAATTAGTTAGTTTACTGTATTTACCAAATTTGACACTATCACTCAATTCTTTTTAAACTCACTTCCTTCATTTCCTTGATTTCTTTTTCTTCATTTTTAAAAAATATTTTGCTTTGTATGTCTTATAGTTATCAGCTCCCTTGATTTGTTCTTGTACCCAACACTTAAAACGTCTGTTTTCCAGGAGATGGAAACCATTAAGGAAACTGAAGACGAAGATACGGAACAGGAAGTAAATAGTTTGATCTCCAACAACATCGCCGTCAAAACCTTCGAGGAACTCAAGGCTACAGCGTTGCCCAGGAAATCCACGTTTCCTCGGAATTTCTCCTCTTTGAGCTTTTTTGCGGCGCCCAAAAAGCGGCGTGTTTCCAAAGAATCCATTTTGTCCAGTTACTCCCATTTGGATTTCACAGGGTCGAGCATTCACCTCCATCTACAGGTAATAAGCCTCGATTGAAAACTATCCAGTACTACATTATTTATTGTCACCTTAGCTGTTTTATCTAATATATCAGGAGAAACCTTTTAACTGCAAAATTAAATGTGCACATAAAAGTAAAGATATTCGGTTTGTTTTTCCAGAACAGAATAGATTTTACAGGATTTGATACATGTGTCATGTCCACTGAGGGCCGGGTGTATACTATATTTACAGACTTTGATAAACCTTTTAATCGGATTTTCCATAAGACTGTATAATGCTATATTAATTAACAAATAGAAAAAGTAAAAAATATGCACTATGTCACAAAAATAATAATTCCGATTCAATTCTTGTTACATGTGGGGTGCCTTAGGTATAGACACTAGGTCTAATATCATTTTTATTATTCATTCGTTAAGTATTCAAATATGTGGCTGATAGAAAAAAAGAGTAAATGTACAATAAGATGTTAAAGATGTTAATGATATATTAAAGCGTTCAAAAGATATTTTGTGGGATTTTTATATCAGTTTATATATGTAAAAAAAACGCTTTTCTATGAATAAAGTTACTATTAGACCAATTATCACAAAAGATGATGTTGATAAGAAATTAAAATTTAATATATTGATATGTTAAATATTAAAGCGGAAAATTCTGTATTATAGTGTAGTGAAGTAGATGCTTGATTATGGTAGGGTAATTTGATCCCCCCTTAGTTCTAGTACAGAAAAGTTATGATCGAAAGCTATAGGAAAATTACTGTTTTAAACGAATTTTATAATTTTAATTTATTTAATTATTAATTCATTTCATATATTTATTTATTAAAAATCTTATTTACATATACATACTTTTATTAAAAAATTCTAATTTTAATATGCATTTTTTTGAATGTAAAAAATAATAAACTGTATTTTTAATTTGTTTTGTCGACTATAATTTTTTTCTTAATTATTTAGATTTTTTTTTGAAAAATGTGCTCTAAACTTTTGAACATTTTTTGTGTATTAAAATAACCATATTAATAAAAATTATTAAGTTGGGTGACCATACAACTGTCAAACATTGACAGTTGTATGGTCAAATTCAAGCAAGTAAGTCAAAATAGTGATGCTTCTGTTGTGCTAGATTGTTTTCTTTCATCATGTTTAGTCGTGACGGCATGTTTACAACGAAAAATGCGATAAAATTATAAAAATTGTGTATCTCCATATGTGAACAAAATTGTTTTAAAGATTTTTTACGGAAGAAATATATAATAATTATTGCACGGATGGATTGGGTGGAAGTTGATGAGCGAAAGAATAAAAAATGGAATTTAATTTTGAAATGAACAGCGATTTGTAATTTACTTAACTCAAAACATTCACACAAAGCCATTAACAGGTCAAAAGTGAATAAAATTGCGAGCGAATTTATAGAAATCGGGGATGTAAAAGATCGAATACGGCTAGGTCATCCAAATATAAATGAGAACACGCTAACAAACCTGTTATTAGAAGTTGAGGATCATCGTGTATCTTCTGAAGTAACATCAAATAGTGATGTTAGCCCACAAAGAGCTTTGCGTGTATTAAAAGAAGAAACGTAGCATCCGTACAAGATTTCTATGATATAAATGTGCAACTGAAATCCATTTTTTCTTCGTTCGGACAATAAATGAACACAATTTTTGACATTGCAATAAAAATACATTACAAAATTAATCCGCGCAGCGATTTTAAATAACAAAATTATTGGACCCATTTCTTCTATCAAAATCTTCAAATGTTTTTTCCAAAATGACTTAATTCGTACTCTCGCACTTTCTTTGTGAAATCCAAATACGTTTGATATGATAGATAGACGATAAGGAAAAACCACAAATTAAAAAATACTTTTTGACCCACCCAGTATTCTATTCAATGCAAAAAACGCGGAAGAAAAAATGAATGAAATGTAATTAATTTGTTCCAATTTCACTTTTGACACAAAATTCAAAATATGTCAGTAAAGGTAAGACTTGAAGTAAGAAAGTTGTTACTTGTCCACGAAAATACAAAAACCCTGTATGTAATATGTAAATATAGTATTTTAAGCGTATATTTTGATATTTTTGGCAGTTTCTGAGGTGCCATCCCAGTATCAAAGGCTCACCATGTACACCATAATTAACAGTTGAAATTGAATTGAAACTAAAATAGCATTGTTGGCAAATATGCAGTGACGAATGTGAGGTGGAAAATGCTCTTCATAATATTTGATATACATGACTGTCGCATTGTTTTGCCTAAACTGGTTTTTAATCTATGTCTGAAAAACCAAGTCACTCCTGGAATATGGAAAATATCTAAAATTATTCCCTAACAGAAAAAAGACTGTAGATCTGTAAAATTTTAGAATTCATCCTACATAGCAAAATATATCATGTTGGACCAAAAAGTCGGTATATTTTGAGGCTATCGATGCAGTTTTTCAATTAGACGTTATATATCTTTATTTTCAAAATCATTTGATCTGTTAGATCACAAAATTCTATTCCACGAGTTTTTTACTTTTGGATTTTCTGAATGTTGTGCAAGTGCAATGCAGTGTCTTTCACCACCATGTGTAAATATATAATCATCATCTTGATGAAACCCTCTCCCGTTCTAACACTTGTTGTGACTTGGGAGTAATATAAGGTGCTGACAGATGTCTTTAAAGTAATAAAAATATTATAGAACTAATATGACAAGTCAAAGTTAGATTATGCATGACCATTTTGGTCTTCGGGGCACAATTGTCAAATTAACGGTCTGCAAAAAAATCCTGCGTAAGTTTTTAAAAAATGTACGGTATAAAATTGAAATATTATTAAATAGATTTCGTTGTGTATCTTAGTGCTCGCTATGATTGTCATTATTTAATGACTATATTTATAATTTTTAAATAACTCTTTTGATTGCGCTGACATATTTATAAACTAAATTTTGTTCCCCATGTAAACTATAGCCAATTTTCTCAATGTACTCCAAATATAACGTTAGACCCTATTTGGACTTTTTTTTCGAAATCTATTAGTAAAGTAAAAATGTTATGTAACCATAAATTTTCTTTTTCTTTTCTCTTGTACTTTTTATAAGAGTTAATGCTTATGGCAGGTTATAATTATTCCAATTTGTACTACAAGTTACCTATTAGTTGATTTTGGTGTCTGTTAGGTCGACTTTTTTTGTAAATAAATAAATAGCTTAAAATTATTAAAAAATTTATTGCAGAATGATGGAGTAGGTTTTTTGGTACATCGTAAGCAGTAGTAATTATTTTTGAAGCTAGATTTTAGGTTAATGGCAACTTAAATAATCAGCCTGTGAGTTTTAATAATAAATAACTCGCTAATTCCTTCTAGAGTACCGACAGAGACCGAGAAGAATATTCGTCAGCTCGTCAGTTGCGACGCAACATGAGCTATCCTGGAGTTCAGTTCTCAACGCCACATAAAATCGTGAGAGATGTCAAGAGAGGTCCCGCGCCTATCAGAAAAGAACCAGAAAAAACCGCCTGGCAAAAAGTGGTCGAGTTCATGGACTTTGATCTGCTCAAGGATCCGGTGTATCTAAATTTGGTATTCGGACTGTCCATTTTCTACGTGGCGGAGCAGAACTTCAAGATGGTTACGCCGTTCTTCTTCAAGAGCGTCGGCTACGAACCCCACGACGTAGCCCTGTTCCTCTCGGTTCAAGCTTTCACCGACATTCTAGCTAGATTAATACTGCCACCTATCTGTGATCGGTTAACTATATCAAAAAGGACGCTTTTCATGTCCGGAATTTTCGTTTTGGGTATCTGCAGATCCGGTAAGTGTGCGTTTTTCTGGTTTTCCGGCTGTTGAAGGAATAGCATAGCAAATTTTTACGGAACTTTAACTTATGAAAAACAAATGTTTTACCGTTCCGCGACATCAATTCAGAACAAAATTCTCTTGCGATAATTTTAATCTTACTGAAAAACGTATTAGTTTTCGTTTATTAAGTAGTATTTTTTTATTCCTTGTAAATATAACATTATTATAAAAAAAAACATAATTCAGGGCGGCTCACTACTGTTTGATAAAAATTTTAAATTCAAAAGTTGTTTAGATGCTTAGTACCATAATAAAGAGTATGTCATTACTATCTTACCGACAGCACCCAACTTCCTCATTTTAAATGAACAGGGTGGAACGTGGCACCGCCGAGCTTTTTGCACAAAATTTGCAAATCGCTCTTTTTTGACATGAGAAATCCATTTTCGTGAATAATTTTGGGGCAAATTGTAGAGGACATACCTTTCGTACATCTGTTATTTTGCTCCTCAGAGTATGCAGTCGCCGTTTCCGAAAAATTCGAATTTGAAATTTTCGTTGCAAATAATTGAACAGTTTAATGTGAACATGTAAAATAGATTAACTTAATTACAATAACAGACATAAAACAGTTCAAAGTAGCCTCTGACGAAAATAGACACGATAAAATACCTGCAAAATAGTTCAAAGTAGGCTTTGACTAAAAAAAATGGCGCTTAGGTTCTGGTCAATTTCTTTGCTGTTTGCCAGTTAGTTTGGTAATTTTTCAAAAGTTTTGGTTAGTGATATATTTATACGCACAAGCAAATTATCATGGTCATCGAGTTCATAGACGTTATTTGGAGATGTTTTCAAACGGAAGGCCCTGATTTTAAACTTTTTAAGAATATTTATAATAGACTCGGACAAACTGGAGCTGGAAGAGGAAATTTTAGTCCAAGTAGCTGAAATTTCACAAGACGAATGAGAGTGGGAACCGCAATGTGCAAGTCTACAGTTTGTAGCGTTTTTTACCAAAAAAAAAAAATTATAAAATTTTGCTCCTGTAAAAAATCTTTTAGATTGTGACCATCTCGCCAGATTGGAATGTGCTCGGTTTTGTTGGGTCCGGAAAACGCCGACCCAATGTTTTTGAATAAATATGCTTAGAGTTAAGAAGAATAATGTCATGGAAGACGGCGCTCCGGCGCACTTTTCCAGACATGTTAGAGACTATCTAAATAATTAATTTTCTTATCGTTGGATAAGTCGTGGAAGTGAAGTGATTTCACTGCTATTCATTTTTGTGTTTGGGAGTATATGAAGTCGCTAGTGTATGAAGTGGTTCATACTCGAGATGAATTATGGCACCCGGTTGCTGCTGAATTATTTCGAAACAAGGAATTATTACTTAAAATCAATTAACATATTTTAAAAAGCACCACAGTGAATAGAAATTTTGATTTTTTTGTATTGCAGGAATTGGCCATCCAGATCATCCGATTTGTGCTGCTCGGTGACTGTATAAAAGAGCTAATGTACTCTTTCTAGTAGATCTGTACAAAATGCATATGAATTGCTTTTTATTAAGTCTTTGAACAAAAATTTTGAATTGTTTCATTTTATTCATTACCAAGTTCTTGAGTATTAACTGCTAAAATAAATAAAACCAATAATAAAATAATAAAAAAATAATAATAAAATAAATGAAACCAAGACCATGTCAATTTTTGTCAAAATCAATGCTAACTAGAAGGAACTGTGAGTTGATGAGAAAATAGGAAATAACAAGGTAACCGTTAAAAAAGTAAGTCTGATAACGTTTGAACTCTCTATAAATGATAAATCAAATCTCAATAGCAATTGGCTAGTATCTCGGGTGTTGCAATTAAAATAAGGAGGTTAGATGCTGCTTAGGAGAGTTCATGCATAATTTCGAATTTTTTCATCGCATAGAGTAGATTTTGCATAACATTTATTCAGCAACCAGGCGTAATGTAAAAACAAGGAATAATTTGAGATTGAAATTGCGTCAGTAGCTTATCTATCCTAATTCTTCCCGTTTTAAATCAATTAATATACAGGGGGTTTTTGTGTAGGAAAGAAAATATTTTAAGACGGGTATTTTCTAACTCGCAATAAACAAACAATCACATGCAACAGTGTAAAAACTAGTAATTTAAGTTAAGACTTTATAACACAAGTGTTCTTTATAAATCGTTTTAAGGAAAACGAAATTTTTTGTCACATTGTAGTTAGGCGATTTCCGGGAAATCAATATTTTTTGTTTAATCGTCTTTCTAGAACATGCCTTTGAAATATTCTCCTTTCCTCACGAAATACGCCGTATATTTCAAAAATGTAATGCTGTTTGTGTATGCGATTGAATAACAATTAATACTTTTTTTGTTTAATAACATTACATATTATTTTTTCCACGCGTTTTAGTTTTCGGTGTAAATCCATTTGACAGTTTTATAGACACTTATTACAAGTCTAAACACAATTCTGTTTTATCATTTAACTATTTGGTGAATCCAGATAACAATGAGTCAAGCAGCGGTTCAAATATGAATTAGAATAGCAACAGGTATTTTTGTTTAAAACTAGTTAAATCTCAAAATTCATTAATTATCAACAATTAAATACTTCATTCTACTTTCAGGACATTTTTCGGAATTTTATGTTAGGTTACATTTTCGAGGTGCGTACAATCGGAAAAGATTATTCCTAACCGAACATTAAGCTTTAAACATAGTCAAATGACTTTTTAAGTAGCCAGTAAAGTAAAAATCCAATTATCAACGGGAATAGCGAAATCATCAACACTCTAAGAAATACTTCATTTTTCTAATAAAATACTTATTAATCAATACAACTTGAATCTGTCAAATAACCCGATCAAATTAGACATAAAAATAGTACTCAGAAAATCAAAATTCCGACAGACTTGGATTTTATTGAAGACCTTGTGCCAAAGTGCCAAAAACCCTATGGACATGAGTGCTAAAAAATATGCATAGGCAAAAAACAAAATAAATTAGATGTACATTAGGGACCATAAAATTATGGAAAATATTTTTTTTTAGGATCAAAAAGACGTCTATTGAGTGATCGATTTTAAATAAAATTTTATACTAAAAAAAAAGAATGCAATTGAGTACAAATTCTATTTAATTTAATCAATGTACTTCTTAAGCACAATACAGACCTAATTGATTCAAAATAATATTGGACATTCTTAATTATAATTATAACAAAAAATTTTTCAAGACATATAATTTTATTATCATTCACTTGGTGAGGTTTGATCACCTGTATGATTTTACAGTCTGGTGTTATATCATGAGTTTTTAAATTAACCTTTCTACTGGAACTTCTATTGAAAATAAATCGGAGATTCATGGTTTGTTACATTTCATGCAATGTGCATAATATAAAAATAACAAATTTGTTCAACTCTCACTTATTTATGGCAGAGCGAAGAAATTATTTCAGTTATAAATATTTTGCATACTTTTTATTTTCCGTTTTAAAGCTCTTTTCAAATTGGCTTCTAATTTGTTTGTGAATATCACCTGGTGTCAATTTCACTTTTTTCATTTCTCGAAAACGTATATTGCTTTGTTACATTTTTCTTTTTACAAGAGCCTATCACATTGTTTTTTCAATTTCTTTAAAATGTCGACTACGTTTTGAAAGAACAAGTAATATATCTAGCTGAGACTTTTTACTTTATATTTTTCTTGGCATATTCTGTCGATAATTCCAAAATCGCCCAATTTATTTTAATAAACTTGGGGTCGTTAAAAGAGGCTTTTCCTAGGCTGTCAATCGTGCTATGAGTAAGATGAATGCGATTGAGCACTCTGCCATCAGATTATCCTAACCTAATGCAACACTTATAACTGTCTATCCGAAAATTATGGAAACTAAAAATAAAGATGAAACACAACAAAATTGATTGAAAGGAAAATCAAAAGTTTTGATCTTGAAAGAGCCTGCCGTCGTTTTCTATGCTCTCAAAAGGTTGGCTACAGCATTTCGCATACGATCAACCATATTTTCAGGAGTGGTAAGTTGAGTTTGATAAACAATATCTTTTATTTTACTCCAAACGTACAAGTCCAGGACAGTGAGGTCTGGAGATCTGGCAGGCCACTGAAACAAACTGCTCCCTCCTATCCAAAGTTGGCCTAAAAAGTCCTAACTTGGTGAGTAAAGTGTGCTGGACATCGGTCGTGTTGTAGCCATATATCTCCTCTCGTTTGTAAAGCGACGTTTTTTAATAAAATAGGCATGTGATTTTTTAAAACATTCAAATACATTTTGCGATTTAACATTACCATTAAAACAAAATGCTCCTATAATTCGATCACCCAAAAATACCACATGACACGTTCCACACTCTACCGATTTTGATAATTCACGCAATTGTGCAAATTGACTCCTCCATTGCTCGAAAAAGTGGCTTCATTAGTCCATAATATTCGAGATGAAAATTGGGATCCTCACCTACCATAGAATTTAGCCAATTACAGTGTCTTATCTTTTATAAAAATCAGTTTCTAAAGGAGGCTGATGTAATTCAATATGAAGTGGGTGTAGACAGTATTCTTTTAGAATTGGGCAAGCCGATGTTTTACTAACATCCACTTCCAAACTTATTCTTCTTTTTCTCGTACTGTTTCGGTCAAATATTTAGTTAAACGACTAAATACCATTCTACTAAAACGTCTTCTATTGCTGTTAATTTGCTGCTTCCAGTCGGTCAGCGACATATGTTTTATGACGATTTCGATAATTAGGAATGAACTATTTCTATCAGAGGGGATGTTTTATTTCTTTTATGATTTTGTACTTACTTCTAGAACATCAGTAATTGGTAAACTTAGTCTTTAACAATTGTTATTAAAAAAGTTATAATACTCAAATCTGATATAAACTAAGATAAACAACGAACGTTCATTTCAATTACAACCCGTAGAGTTGAGTTGCTTACCAAAACTCAACTACACTCACTAAATTCTTTTATCTATATTTTGGGTTAGGATAAAGATATTGAGATGCGGTTTTCACTGGATTGTTGGGCTCTTGTTTGACCATCCAATGGAAGTTCATGTCGTTGCATGTCATCTGGTGGCAGGATCCTCAATCGTAATGAAATACTCGGACTGCAAATTTTTCTTCCCTCGGGAGCCCCGTTTATAAATGAATTTTGTGATGCAGGCGAGAAAGCCGTTACATCGCTCTTATATCTAGAATAGAATCTTTGCTCAATAGCCGTTCACTCTCTGATGCAAACGATCTTTAACCTCCAACTCCCAGTCATTTCTTGTTACTGGAGCCCGTTTGCGAACAATTCCTGATCCCGACTATAGTTTAACTCAATTAATCAAGCTGAAACGTTTGCAGTTGATAAAACGACAAGTGTCTGATTTCTGTAAAAATATATTGGAATATCAAAGTAGTGCCACTGTACCTCGTTAAGAACGAACAAAAGTTCAGAAGGAAAATAATTGATTTTGGACTTTAAACATTTAGAAATTCATTACAAAATATATGCTGGACTAGCTTCTTTGTTAATAGGTAAGGTTAAGGTACATGTTAATCAAATTTTTCTCTGAAAAAAAAATTGAGCCCAGGAGATCACCGGCTGTGTGGTTTAATAATGCGATGAAAAATATGAGAAACAAAATTAGTATTCATTAAAAACAATAGCTGACTGTAGCAAACAACCAGAACACAGAACAATTTATGGGTCTTTTTAATATAAATTTAGGAGATTTATTAAAAATACTAAGCGAGAGGCACATGAATGTATATTAGTACATCAGTACAGCACAATGTGAGAGAAATCGCATTAAAAAAGAAGATCACTTCGGTGATATTTCTGCAGCTGAACTCAATTAATTTTTTACTAGCATTGCTTCCAATATATTTTTTTTTTATCTCTTTAACAGTCAGACCAGAGCTACAAAGGAAATGTCTGAACGATATACGATTTGTCCCAGCCACTTTCATTCTATATGGGTTTGCTGAGGGCGATGTTTTGAGTTGTGTTGCAGTTTTGAAAATATCAGGTTCCTTTGATTATTATAATATTAATAGTATAATTTTTAAGGTTATTGAACCAATATTGATATTCCTTACTTACCTTTTCCAACAGATGCGTCGAGGAGCGAATTTTCCCCGAAGGTGTCCAGAGTTGTACCGATATTCAAAAATGGTCAACCTAATTTATCAAACAGTTACAGGTCAATATCTATAGTTCCCTTACTGGGAAAAATTTTTGAGTCATTAATAAAAAAACCAGTTATCACGCTTTTTATATATTGTATATTTTTATGCAGATACAAGCAGTACCCAGTTTAGCTTTGGGTCAGGCAGTGTGCAGGTTGTGGGAGAAGTAGTGCAGAGCCTTGAACAAGTGAGTCTTACTCTTTGTGACCTTAGCAAGACCTTCGACTGCGTTTCTCACCAGTTGCTGCTGGCAAAATTGAACAAATATGGGGACTTCCATTGGATCTTATTAAGTTATCTAGGAGACAATGTGTGGTCTATAATAATGAAATACTAGCTGATCTGACTTTTTAGCTTCAAAAAAAGTGCTTAGGAACACACACCCCTTTACGGTGAACTCCTATTATTATAATTATCTTACCCGAAAATAATTGGCTTACTTCGCAAAAAGAAATTGAAGTATTCCACTGTCTGTGTTTATATAATAAACTGCCATCAAAAGTGAAGGCACTGAGTATCAAAAAAAATAAAATATATGTAAAAAAATTGCTTCAAATGCACTGTTTCTATCCCGTGTGGTAGTATGTAGAAACCACCATCATGAGAGAAGATGCTAACTAGTTGTATGGATTTTTTTTTGTTTTGACGTAATGTGTAATAATCTTTCTTGTTAATTTTTTTTTCTGTTTGTCTGTCAATGTTACTCTTTTACATTTGATTGGCCACAATTGTTTTATTTATCTAATCCGAGCCGCGGATGTTAGGTCGGTAACAGGCATTTTGCAACACCCGGTAGCTAAGCTCTATCCAGTACCCACAGATAGTGCAAACAGGTAGTTTTCTCAGCGTTAAGACAGTGTCCATTCTATGTTTCATTAATATAAGAATATTTTGCAGAAAACAGTTTTAAAATTCAAAACGGCAATTACGCCCACTGATCGTCATTTCAGAATCTCAAAAATAATTCCCAGCATTTTTTTTCGAATTTTACCTCGTTGCCTCGAAACACCCGGTATGTGTAGCGACTTGTAATAAGGCGTTCGTCAAAAATAACCTACTCACCGGAGATTCGCTTTCATTTACCGCTTTTCGTTTCCGAATAAAAAAAACCTTTTGTTTCACTTTGGAAGTGTGTTCTAATGTTTCTATGATTTTTGTTGGCAGCCGAAGGAGCCATTGAATAGGTAACCCAGAAATACACACAAACGTAAGCTTTAAAAGTTATTTTAAGGCATTCTTTTTTTGTTTGTTTCATTCTTATGTTAAGTGAACGAAGGAGGAAGAAACGTTTTTGTTGTTTGCTTATATATGGAACTTTTTTATATCAAATAACGTTTTGGTTTTTTCGCACAGGGGCAACTTAGATACATATCGGCAGGTGCTCATTCGGTTCTCTATCTCTTTCAGTATTGGCGCAACAAACTGAGTACACGATGATCATGATTTGGCTGGTTATAGCGGGATTCGCTAGAGGGGCCGCCCTGATCAATTTTGCTATTACTATATCGGAGTATTCGTCTCTGGAAAAACTACCCGCCGCATTCGGGCTACACAATGTAGGAAAAGGCCTGTTCGTTGTCACCTTGGGGCCGGTCTTAGGTAAGTCGCTACGTGAACATTTATCATATAACGAGAAGATAACAATATGTAGTATTTTATGTTATGGTCTTTTTATTTGCATTTTAATATAATTATGTTGTAGCGGATAAAGTAAGTAAAAAAAAGTCTCCATAGTATGGCATCGAAACTCACCAACATCATACACACACCCCGTAAGCAGTTGTGATTAAAACAAGAGTTACGATATAAATCTCCATATTGAGTTAGGTTAATATCTACCGTTTTAGTACACCCATATGAGATATAATCATAGAATAAAGCGTTAAATTTCATTTTTTTGATGATACGCTAACTTAGTCTGTTCTAACGTGGCAACACCTATCTCGATTGGCGGTAGACGTTTCTGTTAAATATCTTTCTCACTCTGGGAGATCGCTTCGTTATTGTTTTATTGATTCATATTTTCTGTTTTGCGCTTGACTTTGGCAAAGATCACAGTTGGCTATTGCAACCATTCCATGAGCCTTAGACACTCCGTAAAGCCAGAGATCTTACCTCACCAACTTCTCGTAAATAGTTGTTTATTTTACCGTTGGACTTTCTATGATGCCTGCATCTATGGCTTTTTGAAGTTACACTTTGAAGATACACTATTAAGATCAAGTTCATTCATATTAAAGAAACTGAGTTACTTAAAATATTTGCAAATCAACAGTTTTTGCTTATTGTAAAATGTAAATATTGTGAATTAATTTTCAGCTTTAATATTATATACGGCTAGTCTAATATATTTGTTTTCGTTTGAGATAATTTTTAAACGTGCTTACCCAATGCAGGGCTTAACGGAAATCACCGAGAAAAAGGTTTAATACAAAATTTATACAACTTTTGCAGTTGGGACTGCATACCGAATATGTAATTAATTCAAATTAAGGCAATTTGTAATTCGTCACTAGACCTGCGAAGACTACAAAGGCTTTGTTGAACGTCTTCGCCGGCTGGTGAAAAAAATTTCATACCTGCTCCCAGTAGGTATAAAAAAGTGTGAACTAGTAAACCAGCCGTATGACCTCAAGACATTTTCCATAATCAGATTAAAAATCAATGAACGGTGCCTAAATCATTAGTTTCCTCTTTTGTCATTTGCTTTTTAATGTGTTTTTAATTTTTATAACATCTTAATATTCTTGTATAAAGCAAAAAAACGGCATTTAAATCTTTAGATCTGTGATGTGTAATCATGAATCACGCTGTATATTATGTACGCCCCTAAAATAATCGATATGTTGATTATTAGGATATGTCCTAAAAATCTGCATTCTTTAGAGAATTTAGAATATCTTTTCGAAAAATTCACCTTTTTCCAAAATTTCTATATTTTCGTGACATATGCTTGATATATGGTTAAATAATACACCATACCTCAGGTTTTGGTCACGGAACACATATAAAACTGCTTGCTACTGTTTCTCCACTTTGCGACGCGCATGGGTTTTTTTACAAGTCTAAGAGGTGATACTAAAAAAAATGATACAACTTTTGTATTTAAACTTTATCTCGGTGACTTCCGACCTGTAAGTGGGGCTGCAAATATAAAAAATAACTCTGCACAAGTACTCCGGATCTTTATATCAGAGTGGCTAGCTATTTTAACTTTAACATTTTAGTGATTTTATTAAAATTTAGTTTTCACAAATGAAATTCCTACTTTTCAAGATATATTATTCAATAAACAATAAATCACTAAAAGAGTTGGTATGCAGCTTCTTTAAAAACTAGGTCATTTCAAGGTTACAGCCTGGTTTGTAACATTACGCTAAAACTTATGGGGCCCATTTTCTCTACCATTCAGTTGCCCGGCACATTTCTTTGTTTTGCTAAATTGTAAGAGGCTATGTTAAATGCCCTTTTGAATTTGTATAAAATATTTAATCATGCTTAAATAAAATGCGATTCTATATATACCACAACTGAAAAAAAAATCAGGAAGGTTAATAAATATACCAGCTGACTATATTAGTTTCTTAAAAACTGCAAAGAAAAACCAACACTTTACATTTAAATAACGAATTTTTAAAAAATATTTTTGAAATTAACTTAGCCAATTCAGTTCGTTCTCGCAGTAAAGCTGGAGATCCAACAGTTCATAACGCTAGAGCCTTGAAATACAATCTAGATAGATCCATAGATCCTATTACATTAAATAAAAAATGCTCAGTTGTTTCAATAGAAAATCTTCCAACAATATACGTTGGTAAATTAAAATTAAAAAAATCATGAAAAATTACAATCTTCAACATGAATAAGCTTTCATTTTCAACAATGCTTTATTTTAGTAATAACTAAATATTTTTGTTGCCTGATAAGAACAAATAAAAATTATGATTTTTACTAATGTTTTTATTTAAATAAAATTTGCAGTCCTAAAGTTTAACGAATTTTGATGTGATTTTTAAATTCATTAAATTATCAAAACCTGCTATATATATATATATATATATATATATATATATATATATATATATATATATATATATATATATATATATATATATATATTTTTTAAATAAATATCAAAATTTCTATACGTAAACATGATTTAGAACTAAAAACTGTTATTAAATTACTTTAAGATGCAAACAGTTTTTTTTTCACTTATTGTAAAATTATTATTTTTTAACTTGAAATTACACATTTTTCATGTGGCAGATTGAAACAAAACTTTAGTTCTTCAAGAATGCAATTAAAATAAAAAAACGCCTAAAGTAGACTGTTTAGTATAGTGTATTTCTTCCATGAAAGACCTTCATGTACTCCTATGATATTTTGTTCCCATATTCGAAAAAGCAAATTTTGAAGTTAGTCTATGGTTCTAAATGGCTTTCTATGCAGTTCAATCTGACATCTCTGACATCTCATAAGGTCCCAGACATGCTCAATCGGATTTAAGTCAGGGCTTCTTACTGACCAGTTTATGGCAGTAATATTAACTTATAAATATGAAATTGTCCCCTCGAAAGGGACTACACTAGGTTCGACAATCTCTCTTATATAGCGATCAGCGGTTAACCTGTACTCGTTTACGGCCACCAATTCTGTGCGTCGGTTATAAGATATGTCTTCCCAGGCTATAGTTGAGCATCCACCAAAACTCTCCACCTATAAAATTGCACTGTTCTCCAAATAGTCTACACACAGGCATATAAACCGAATCTCGACTCATCTGTAACTAGTACATTTGACCATTCTTCGATCCTGCAAAATTGTAAATACATAGTTGCAAATTAGTTTGCAGAATCCAAAATGCGTTAATATAAAAAGAGAATCCAATGTTTTTTTGTGACGACCTGTATAATATGAAAGTAATTTATAAAAGTAACCATAACAGGACTTGCAAAAGTTAATATCTCAGAAGTAAAACTTTTAGAGAATCCTTTGCTTTAGTCATAATATTCTGCACCGTATGGCATGAATAACACCCTGCACAGAGTATCCGAAATTCTTTGTAATTGCGGGATATCTCGGTTATGAGTAAAACTAGAGTCTTGCAGTTAACGGGTCAATACTTGTTTTGTAAAACGAAAGAATTCGTCAATAGAATTTTCTTAATCCATTGCGTTTCTGAGCTACAGGGTAATTTGGAAAATTTCGCGATTTGTAACGTATCGTAGGTTAATATTTAAGCTACTGAAAAAATAAAAAAAAGTCTATAGAGATTTTTTTACGTAGAATAAAACGGAGGTGCTAGTTTTTCAGATTTTATTTATTTTTTGAATCATGATATAAAGTTTTGTATTTTGCTACATCCTGTATAGTTTTATGTCACTATATTCCATCCGCTAATAGGTTTCCAAATATATATAACACTTTACAATTTGTTTCTATTCAATAATACAATATTTTAATATTCTTCTTATAGTAGTCTTATTATTATTATTATTATTATTATATCTTATATATTATTATTTATTTAATAATAACTATATACACGATAACTTTATATATGTAACAATTAGTTAATTACTATTGATTACTATTTAGTACTAAATTATTAATTCAATATAAATAGTGTATTCGATAAGTATTTTTATTTGTGTTTTCTATTTTTCCTCGCAAAATTAAATTTGTATGAGTCTACAAATTGTATTTCTTAGAAAAAAAAACTTCAAACGTAAATCTGAATTTACAGCTAAAGAAAGTTCTCAAATTGACCACCATTGTCATGAATGGAGTATTGGCATAATTTTCTTGTTCTGTTTAACGCATTAAGTAACATAGTGGAGCAGGCTTGCACATTTCTTAATTCCCTTTCAAGTGGCATTTCGCTGATCTTCTCTTATGTGATGTTGATTTGGAAGGTAGCCCTTAAGAAGTTACCAAGAACTATCGGGAGACGTGGGTGGTTATCTTATCGGACTACGTGTGCCAATCCAATGATTAGGAAAATTATTGTCTAAATATGGATGTATGATTTGAGAATAATTAAATATTATTAAAGAATATATGTCGTTGAACTAACGGGACTTCTTCGCATATTTCTGGTAAGATATTTTCCAGCATACCCAGATTTCTCTTTGCTATGAGGCTACCTACTTATATATATATATATATATATATATATATATATATATATATATATATATATATATATATATATATATATATATATATATATATACAAATTTCTTATAAAAGTCCCTATCTCGGTTGATATTTTGCAAATACCAATGACAAAATTCTGGCCTTCGTTGTTGGTCCAGGGATGCAAATTATTTTAAACTAGTACGTTTTTAAAATTGATAAAAACAAAAAAAAATCCGAATAAAAACTAGCCACCCAATGCATTGTGCGTAAAAAATCTCTATAGGCGTGTTTATTTTCTCGATAATGGATTAATTAATGGAGATACGAGGAGTGCCGCAAATGGTTGAAATTTTCAAAATCATAATGGAGACCAGAAACGCAATGGGATAAGAAAATTATGTTGACGACATCTTTTGTTTCGCACCATGACCCGCGAACCGCAAACCTCTAGTTTTACTCATAACCGAGATATCCATCTGGCATTGACAACGAATTTCCGACACACTGTACATGTATGAAGTACCCAAAATTTATTTTTTTATTCATTTCGTATATTGTCCGAGTCGTATTACTTCGCAAAAAGCCTAACCAGGGTGATGAATTTCGTCTCATTTCATTTCTAGGTAAGATTAGAGACGCCACGCAAAGTTATCCGATCTGCCTGCATTCCCAGACGTTTCTGATAATGTTGTGCTGTTTGGCGTGGTCCATAGAATTTTGCGTCAGACATTTTAGGAATCGCACCGCTCAGTCTGAGAAATCGGATACAGACACAACGGCGACGACATGATTAACGTGCTTTTGCGGTTCGCCAATTAGTCGAATTTACAAGTCAAAGTTTGAATATATTAAGAGGATTAGGTATGTCACGAGGTTACAGTTGGGAACTTGCCGCTGCGTTTGATTAATAAATGTAGATTTTTCATTTCTTTGATGGTAATATTAATTGACGGCTCTAGCTAACTAATCGATACAATACAATGTTGGCCATGAGGTTGTGGTGGAATTTGTTTCTATTGTATTGCCTCTGATTATTCCACTGACCTACTAATAATGAGGGTAATTACTGAGTTGTGACGCAAATGCTGGTTTTCAAATAATGAGACGTCAAAATAACACCAATATAACTTTTAATTAATCTCTGAAAAAGCAAAGCAACAAACGTGCGGTATATATCCAGATAAGATATTGCCTAATTTTTCATTTGTCGGCAAAATTCTTTTGTCTTAGATCTTAGGGTGGAAAAGCAATAACCACTAGGATCCAACTGATTAACTTTTATTATATTTATTCTTTGCTATATGGCATTAAAAGTTTGAGCTTCATGAATATATCTGATAAACAAAATGCTGTCTTGGCAACGTTTTTTTAAGATTTTTGGATGGTTAGTCTATATATAGTATGGAGATTCCATTCGAACTTCTTAAATTAAAATTTCTTAGATTGTCAAACCAGGCTTTTTAAATTTGTTTATCCATTTCACTGTAACAATAAAAGCATGAAAAGATTTTACTACAACTTCACAGCGTGGAGAACGAGAAACAAATTTCAAATTTTCCATTCCACGGTACTGAAACAAAATCAATTTGAGTTCTAAAATAATATAAACTCTTTGGACTATTTCATCAACTCTATGTTTGTAAACAGTACTCACATGACGTACTTTCAACATGACTCGCTAGAGGCTTCATAAATCTCAAGGTCGATGGCGCTCGAGTCATATAAATTCAAATATTCGTTAAATTTTAAAGATGAAAGTTATTGAATCGGAATTCATTAACCTAAAGAGTGTCAATTTTTTTTAGTTATATTGGTTTCCGCTAGCTTTCTCGTGGTTGTATTTTAACTAGGTCTAGAATTCTAACGCTCCAGGAACTCATTTTAAAGTGCGTCACAAACCGTTGCCTCAAATGGCGAATTCGTAGAAATCGGTCTTCAAGATGTCCTGCAACCCTTCCACGACCTTGACTTTGCTACGTTGCCACCAGTTTGTCCAAACCTACTTAAGACTCTGGAGATGGTTCGTTGATTTTAAATTGTTCTGCAAACTGAACTTGGTTATACCCTCTCATTTAGGGCTTGTTTGAGCCCAAACACAGATATAGTTTTATATCTTCCCGACGGTTTCGAGGTGGTTAAGTAATACATCATTTTCAAGCTTTTCCAAGTGGCTTTCCAATGGTCTAATTCAATATCTGGGATAACTTCTGATTTTTTTGATATTGCAAAATAAATATAACGAACTTAAAAATTTCATAATTGGGTGTAGTTTTATATATTCCCGACGATTTCAAGGTGGTTGAATAATATATCGTTTTGAAGCTCTCCTAAGCGGCTCTGATTGAATCTCTGGAACAATATCAGATTTTGCGAAATAGTGATTAAATTGTTTTTTGGGATGATACAAGCTGAAAAGGTGTTATTTTCTGTATAGCAACATTATATATGGTTTTTGGGAATTTTCTTACAATATTTTCGTGCTTACTTACCCAGGTAAGTAAAGAACTGGTCCAGTGTAATATTTGCAAATCCGAATACATAGTCAAATCTAACTATATATATAGTCACAGATCAGTGGTTATTTTCATACGCTTGCCATGAACGATTCATCATTCATATTAACAAACCTTTTTTTGTGAATTTTATTATTTCAGAAAATGTTTGACGGCAATTTGCTGCAAATTTCATGAAATTATATTCACCATGTTCGTAGCAATTTCCTACGCTTACAGGATATTCATTGTGTCTTGAATTTTTCCGTTTCAGATCTAATGTTAGTGATGAAACCAAAGTATAGATTAGATAGGTGAATAGGTACGACGAAAACTGTTTTGATCTGGGTGAATATAAGCTGACTTGAATCAAATATCGCTTTGTTTTACTAGGTAAATTGTAACTTCGCGAATATAAAGTTTTTTAATGAACTGAAACTTTCATATTCCCAATTTTTAGATCTACATATTATATATCATTGGATGTTTGAATGCGGGCGCATTTTCGAACCACTTTCGAAGTCATTTGCTTGTAATCCAAAATGCTTCAATTAAAAACTCAGCACGAAATACATGGAAAATGGACTTCATCCATATTTAATATATTCTTAGTATGTCATAGTATTAATTATGTCTTAATTTTGTTTAAGTTATTTCTATTAAGTTTTTATGTTTAGTATCTGAGACATTGACTATCAAAAAAGGAAAAGGGCGTTTTATAGGTACACTGTCACCTAAATTACTTGCAATCAAAAAGTTGATCGGTAACCAGTAGAGGGAGGGGTGGTATCATACTTTCGAACACACTATAATATAGAAAAAAAGGTAGCAGCAAGGGGCAGAATTCAGTGATGTGACAATGACAATTTTTTCAGGCAAACCGTTTTCGAGATATAGCCCAAACATGGTATTTTTGGGTGCCAAAAAAATTCGCATTTTTTTCCTTTAATACGATGCACTTGTGACGTAAAAATTATAACCATTTTTTATTTGATAAACTTAATAATATATACACTTAAGGATACTATTAAATTATTTCTACACAAAAGTACAAAAATGACATAAATTATAAAAAATGAAAACTGAAAAAGTACAGTAAATATTCCGTAGTCTACTGTTGCTATCGAAAATCTTTATATACTAGGTGCAATCAAAAGAGTATATTTTCGAATATTCGTTGGGTACTATTAAACGTAAAAACATACAAAAAATATTAATTTTCAACTATTATAGATGATGCAAATAGATACTGACACGGACATCACCATTTTATATTGTTTTTTCAATAAATGGGCAAAATTTAATAATAAATTTGTTAGACTTTAAGGTTGAGTCCATATTTTTATTTTTACTGCGAGCTGCGTCAAAAACAAAAACAAAAGCATTTGGCCAGTACAATTCTACGAAAAACTATCTATATTATTAGTTTTAATATAATATAATAATGTTGGAAACTTCCTACTTTGTCAGATATTTATAAAAATGTTATAGCTAAAAATAATCTTCCCAGTTGGAATAAATTAACATTTGATAGTACCTAGTATAATAGAAACTTGTTTTGAAGAAATTGTAAAAAAACAAAAAAGTGTTTTATTTTTAAATCTTTTTTTTACCCAAACGTAGCGAAAAAAAAAACAAATTTTTAAGGTAAAGCGTAACGGTTATGTTTTTTTAACACACACAATTCCTACAGACACTTATATAAAAGCCAATACTTACAGACGATATCGGTAAAAACTAAAAACGAACGCATTGTACTTAGATCATCTAGAGTAGTTGAAGACGGACATTTCTCGATATTTCTTCAAAAAAATGTTCGTTTTGACTGCGTCTCGTATAGAAATAAAGTAATTTCCTGACTGTAAAATTCATTACTATTTAAAATACACAATAAAACGTCTTGTTAGAACGCAAATACAAAATCTCTCATTTCATTTCATGTTCATTCTAAAATGTATGTCTGAGCTACAGGAACTGTCTACAAAAGTTCCGCTCTCTGGTTAATTGAAACACGAAACTGTTAAGAATTCTTCAAGGATAGGGTCAGAACCTCCACAAAATCTGCTTTCTGGTTTGCGTGGAATCGGAAAATGAAATGATTCCCAGGGTTTGCCGTTAAAATCAAGCAAGATGCTGCCAAGTTTATAAGTTGCAACACACTGAATATTACAAAGCGAGGAATTCATATACCAATAGCTCGTTAACAATGTATAAGGCTAGGTTATTGAATATTTACTATACTTTTCTAACACAAAATCATTTGCACTTATGTCAATTTGTTTAATATCTCAGAAAGCACACATATAAACTTAATACAAATCGGACTTTTCTTTTGAAAATAACTAGAACTATAACATAGTCATGTTTTTCCTGCGGGGCTTTTAGCATTTATATTCGATAATCTTCTAATACCAGACTTTACAGTTGTGATTGTCGCTGTCAATGTTTATAATACAGTTTGTATATTTTGTAACTGTTTAAGTGTTTCTCTCCTTTGGATTCAACGAGATAATTAAAATAAGTTTAAATTAATTGTAAACTGCCTATATGTCTTTTCTGAGAATAAAAAATACTAAAACCAACAGACGAGAAAATAATAGGCCCATAAAAATTTCGCTTTTATTTAGCACTTAAGGAACACAAAAACGCTAATCAAGTTTAATTGTTATAGATAATCGTATTTTTGTATTTGATTGTGTGATATAAGTCAATATAAGACTGAACCGTGAGATACAGTATTTTTAATCGAAACTTTCGTTTCAAATCGATAATTTTTCGAAGTTGGAAGTGTGAGACGCTCAAAATTACCTCGGCCCATGACCTAAACTGTTGAAGCGCACTTATATCGGTTCAATTTTGACGTGTGCCGAGATATTTTTGGTCTTCCGTTTGCACCTTCCGCGGTATCCGATAGTGAAATTACGCTGTGGCTAAGAAAATGTGAGTAGGTAGTTTGACGGGCAAAAGGGCTATCGTAACGTAGTTGGACGCATGGTAACCCTTTTGGAGTATTGGTTTTCGCATTATTCGTGTGCGTTTTCATTTTAGAATCTTGTTTGTTGGAAAAGGCATCTATTAAATATTGTAATTATGGTAAATGTATTATAATCTTGTAAATACACCGGTATTATAGTCTGTAAAAGATTTATATATATGTAAATGTATAAAAATATATACGGTTTTTTATTATGGTGCGTTTTTATTAGTTTTTATCGGCCAAGAGGCGGCTCTTTCAACCTTCAAATATTAAGATCGCTAAGTATAATGAATAAATAAATAAACTTTACATAGGGCAAACATCCCAAATTAAAAAAAAAATAATTACAGCACATAAAAGTGACTGTAAACATAAGCCCAAGAATACTAGCGTCAGTTCCCATGTGAATAATCATGACCACCAAGTGACATACAACAATCCCTAGATCCTAGATACGGAAAAAAATGGCTATAAACGTAGGTTCCTAGAAATGTGCTATATTCATCAGTGTGCCAACTCTATTAACCATAAAAGAGATGTGGATGCTTTGAGCAGTATTTACACTTACTTATTACATCAAACATTTACAAAAAAACTGAAACTCCCATATTGCTATTCAAGAAAAGTCCTGTGGTGTTGATATAGGTGTAAAATTTTGTGGGTTCACACACCCACAAAATTTTACACAAGAGAAATAAAGGACAGTTAGTTAAATAAACGTTGGGTCCCAAACCAACTATTACAGAAAAGCACAAAAATAGATTGATCAATAAAATATTACTGAAGTATTATAAAAACACACTTTCAAAAGAAGTACTTACTCAACGATATGAAAAAAAAAATCCATAAAACTTAAGGTTTTCGAACAAAAAAATTAAATGTAAAGCATTGCATGCTGAAAAAAAATTTTTTTTTTAGAAAAATAATTTAGTCGAGTGCTGTCGAAAAAGTTGGATTTTGAACCAACATTTATCAATTATCTTCCAAACAATTACATTTTAAAAATAATTTATTAATACATATTTCTGGAACTAATTCATCTATTTGTGCGTAAAATATAAAAATACATTTTATCCAAACAATGTAACTCAAATAAAAACACAACAAACAGGCAAAACAAAAATAAAATGTTGATGATAAGTATTGAAATTGACTGGTATTTATCCTTGATACGCTGGAATATATATGGATTATTTCTTATTACATTACAAGATGCAATTATCCGATATTTTAGGTCTTCGATATCCTGTAGTGTAGACTAGTACTTTTAGATATCTCTGGATACAATCATTCAAAGGATTTAAGCTGACATGTGTTGGGGCACCATCACATCATCGCCACCTCTTCTGTTTAACAGAGGTACTTTTTTAATCAAAGGACGTAATTCTTTTTACAGAAAACGAAAATACGATCCACCAGTTAATATTAAAGATAAAAAATATGGCCAATTAAACTATCATCGATATTCGCTAACCAAACCTTCACAGCAGACTGATATTGATGTCGACATTCTGTTATTGAATGCCGATTATTTTCGGTCCATACATGCATGTTGTGGCAGTTTTGAATTGCATCCATTCCGTGAGAGTCTAGCTTCATCCCAAAAGAGAATATTTAAATAAAAAAAATATCAAAACCATTGGGAAAAATCATGGTCGGTAATATTGACAATGTCTGGTTGTTCTTTTAAAATCCTCCCTCCAATTTTCTACTGCAATTTTACTGGTACTTGAACTTCAAGTAAATTTAGCGCAGCTACTTCTAAATCCGTGGGTTACAATTTCGCGGTTTCGGCCAGTATTAAAACTACATGTTTCGAAACTTCCAGATTACAGGCAGGTCTACAATTAGGATACGCTTGTATATAAAGGAGATGTAAGGTGTTTCAATTTTTGTTAAGTTTTAAGATTTAATTTTGGATTCAGTGTCTGGGGCTGAGATAGTTTTACTGTTCTGTAACAAGAGAGTTGATAACCGATGATTTTTGAGCCAGCTAGTGTTCTTGCAATGCATTAAGGTATCGGTCTGTGTGCGTAGGTTTTCTGTAAACAATGTTAGGTCTGATTTTCTATAGATAAGAATATCTAAGAATGGGTGATTATTATTAATTTCCAATTCAATGGTAAAACGTATGTTAGTGTGAATAGAGTTTAATATATCTGAAATAATGTTGAGAGTTTCAGGAATAGGGACTTCAGTAAAGAGGGATTGTACTTCAAGAGCCTTCCAAAGTATCCTGTGGGTCTAATGTAATGATTTTAAATTGCTCAATGAAATGAAGGGATTAAGTACGAATGTATCAGTTTTCCTTGGGTTTTAATATATAAGCTAGATATTTTGCTAGAGAACAGTTTGGAGAAATGCTGCCGTCAATAGGTCGAAGAGGTAATGCTGGTTTTTGAATTTTACTGAGTCCGTCATTTTTTTTCTGATATTCACATGTATTCGTGACTACCGCGTTCAGGCTTTAGAATAATAGATTTAGGAGGTTCGGGGATTTTTTTTTTGAAACCGAAAAACTTCACCACAAAATAAACTTCACCACATCCTTCTAAAGACAATGAGTCCGAAAGCAACCTCACACATGCCATTGTTGTCCTTCCTTACATTCAACACATCTCTGACCACATATCAAAAGTTCTAAACAAATAGAACGTCAAAACCAAATTTAACACTTGACCGTCCAAAAATCTCTCAACATCTTCGATCCGTCAAAGATAAAATTCTATTTGAGATTCCAGGAGCTTACAGCATTCCATGCATATGCGGCAAAGAATACACTGGAGAGACGGGATGAAAAATATCAAGTACGCTCAAGGAACATGAAAGAGCCTTAAGACTACGACAAATAAACTCATCAGCAGTTGCCGAATACAATCACGAAACCGGACATGAAATTTTATTCGTTATCGATTCTTCTATCAACGAAAAATCCAAAAATCTATAGAAATATATAAGCAACCACACAATCCTAATCGCGACGCAGGTCTTTACCTTTCACCAATATGGGAATCGGTCGTCTGAGAGAATGCGAGCCAGTTTAAGTTAAGCTCCGAAGAAGCCACCAGGATGATTAGCGAAACGTTAGCATGTTCCAGAAGATTTGTAAATAAGAATTAAAATTCTTATTAATGAACAATTAATTGATTAGATTTAATGTTTTATTAAATTACTGATATTTTACATTCAAACTAACTGAGGAATTTCAAATAAAGCAATAATAAGAAAAGTCTTAAGAAGTGACAGTAGCCCACTAGATTTTTTTTTATCTAATAAACTTTTTTATCTCGTTAAGAATTGCGACGGTTTGTATTATTAAAAAATTGCAGGAGACAAAAGTTTTTAAATAAATTAAAATAAAAATGTCTTTATTATATCATTGCACAAGTTTTTCCCTAGATTGAGTAATGAAAAATGATAGGGGTAGGCTATTTCACTAAAAAATATGCAGAAAGTATTACTAGTGCACTTTCGGAATATTTTTGTTTTTAAGATAAAAAAAATACTTTAATTTTTTGAAATATTTGTGGCGCGATTTCTGAGTAATAATTGCATTTTGACCCAACAGATATATAACAACCTACTCTTTATTTTAAAATAAAGGGTATTTTAGGCAAAGAATCACCCCCTGATGTTTTTCGCATTTCTACGAATATATATTCGGTACGAATTGTAATGGAGTAGTCGGCAATAAAATGCCAGACAGAATAAAATAGATTGATCACCTTGCTTCCTTATACTTCAACATATTTATTCCGCCCTAAATGTGTATCTGTTCAACGCAAGACATCCGCCAATAATGATCACGAATATATTGCTTGTAAGACACAATCGGTTGTACTTGGCATATATTAATTTAAGTAGTATGCACATATTCGGAGATGAGTTCATGTATTTTCTATATAATAATAGATCCGGGTTTTCCATAATGATATGCGAATATTTAAGTTGGTGAATCTACATGAAAAAATTATGACAATTTGTTAAATAAACTTTTGTCCGAAAACTCATGCGATAAAAATTAAAACAATACCAAAGAAATCGTAAAATTAAAAGAAATATATTATAACGTATAAAATATAATTTGCTAAGAGTAAATATACAATTAAACCATATTTACTTTCTATTTACGATAATCAGAGTCAAAATTGCCATAAAATGAGTGTATTCTCCTTTTCTCAGTAATATTTTATTATATTTTCTGTATTTTGGTAACTGTCTGGAGAGCCGCCCTTCAAACAGATACTACTGCAGTATCATCGTGCCTTGAGTCATTCACAATATTTTTATTAAAAAATATTTTGCACACCAATTCTATAGCATTAATTATACAATGGTAAAAAGGCAATCTTACCCATTGACCCATGACCCAACTCAGCAATCATTTCGTCTGTAGTATATGGAAAGTTTGTTTTGTAATTTTTAAGTTTTAAGTTTTCTAGGTAGTTAATCCGCTTACTGCGCCGCCAACTAATAATTTCTTGTTTACTTGTCAATACATTTGGTACACTTTCATCAAGTCTAGCATGATATCATGCATTATCAGTAATAATTAAGGACGGCCTTTCGAGTTTAGTCAGCAGTTTTTCAAAAATGCGACTTTGTTTTGGTGCTCTCTCTGTCAAAAGTTAAACGCTGGCAGGTAAATGGGTGGTTAGTACAAGAGTCGAAGCAGATAAAATACTGAGGCACCTTCTCTTTTAATTTTCTCTCTCTTCTATCGTAACACAGGCGATAAAAATATTTACGCCGAATGGAGCCTCATCCAAAACCGGAGTCAACGTTGAAAATGGGTACATGGAGAAATTCAAAGGACATTATTTACAAAATGCTCGCATATAAGTTTTAAAAGATTTTCCAAATTATCAAAATTGCTCGGCTATGTTTACGCCATTATATTACAGGTCGTTGTTTAAAAAAAAAAGAGTTCTAATTCAATTTTAAAACGAAAGTTTAATGTAAAAAAGTGCGGCGAGCGCGCAATCAGAAACAATTGAAAGCGATCCAACAAAGCAGCCGCGATCGAGCATCGAAAAAATAATCTTGACGGATTCTCTGACAAAAGAGGAACATGAACTTTAATCAGTAAATAACGTGCATTTACGTATAAATGACCAGAGCGAGATAAAAGCCACTTAGTGAGCTGGAGATATCCCGACCAACTTCGCTTTCGCTCGATTGATTACCGATGGTACCGCGGTTGACCAACTGGTAGCAGTACCCAAACAAAAGCGAGATGGAAGCCGTTATACACGAGGCGACTCTACACAAAGAACAATGTTTCCCGCTCGAACGAAACGGTGATAGTGTGACGAACGGTGATGTGAAGTTCGGTTCGGATTGTGACAATGGTTTGGAAACGTTCGGTATGGTACCGTCTACACCTCCGGTCAATATGCGCTTCGAAAGGGTCACCTACACAGCAACCGAAGGTGGATTGTTTCAGAGTAAACGTTAGTAATTTGAGTTGTTTTTTTTTATTGTTCGCTGCGCTATCAAGATGGAGGATCGGCTTGACTTTTGGACTGTACCCAAACCCGCAGTAATCCTAATCCGGCGTTACTTTTGAAAGCAACTCTCTAGAGTTTGGGTAAAATTTTTCGTTATTTACAATCCAAACATCAAACTACCGATTAGAACTTTCGGAAAACTCGTTTTTTTTTTAACAGGGATCCTGTGTTTAATAGCTGGAACTGACATGGATAAGGGATAATAAAAATAACGAAAGAGGGGCTGGAAGAAATAATAAGATACCAATCATAAAACGAAATACATGTACGTCTAAAAAAAATTGCTGGAATTTAATTAACCGTACACTGAATCCTTTGATAGTCAGTGGATTAGAAGGCTTGATAATTGGCAATTGTCTTAGTATGTGGCTAAGCTTTTCTCCCCTTTTAGCATTTTTTGTTCTACCGTGGTTCTACCAAGTGAACTTCAATTTTACTCGCATTGTGTGGTTTCGAAGAAATAATGTATTTTTCCTAAAAACAATGGGGTTGACAATTTATAATAAATGTTCACGAAGGGCGTTCTTGTTAGGAAATGTGTTTTAAAACATTTGTTTCGTACAATCCGACACGCATGACAACAGGTTTCGACACTATTATTATCATCTTAGAGCGCATACGTCAGCACACGATTTTAGACATTTATCGGCAATTTTTAGCTGATTAAAGGAATAATGCTGTGCGCGGGCGATTATAATTAATACGCCAATAAATCAATTGGACCAATTAGATAAAAAACCGCCAAAAGTTTTTTACGCCCAACTTATACAAAACATCGAAATTGACCATCGAAATGTAAAAAGTAAAAAAAAAATCGCGTACACTTTATTTGTAAAATACTTCAATAAAATCTATTGAAAATAATGAAAGAATAAAGAATAGATTTCTAATGATCCATGATTTTTTCCTAGATAATATGTTTGACAGTTAGATGGCACAATTATACTAAAAAATTGAATTGGTCATAACTACGTCCAATTCTTGTCGATCTGTGATTCGACTCCTTTTAGTTTTGTGGGCTTGTGCAACATGTTACCTGATTGCCACTTTTTAAGAATCATTACTTTGCGTTTTATACTATCTGTGGCTTGAATTTTGCTTAATTGGAATCGAAAAATCAATTAAATAAACAGCATGTAAAACTTTTTTAACATAAATCTAGAAAATACAATTTTTATGTGATTTTCCTTTTGCTTTAATATTCAGTGCTTTAATTATTTTGAAAAGATGTTTAAATTTTAAATTAGCACGCTACATATGAGTCTCCAAATTATTCAAAGTGTTCAAAGTGGTAACAAATACAGATAGATAATTCTTGACCAAACGTTATCGAAAAATATTATATATTAATATTAGAAAAATTAATTTTTGATGTTTATATTTCGCAATATTTATGTTACAGACTATTTCAACTGTTATTGTTTATATAAACATCGATTTATATCCGCTAGTGCAATTGAAATATCTTTTATTGTGAATGTTGCACCCACCCAGTAGGTATATTATATATAGGTCAAAGCATTATTCAACTTAAGGTGAACGGAAGAAAGTTTCCAAATTTGGGGACCGATAATGGTTATAATCTCAACCGGCACGACCTTCACACGGTTTCGTCAAGGTCGTAACTTAAATAATGTGCAGCATACGGTGATTTACCGAATAATTGCGTTCTGTCGCAATAACGATCACATAATTTAATTTTTGCTGTAAGACTTACACTTAGTTTTGTTCTTTCCAATAATTACCAAAATATTGATATTCAATTAGAAAACAACTTTTATGATATTGTATATTCTATGTACAAAGTGTTTTTCAAAAACATGGGCCAAAGTTCAGCCGGAGATTCTTCATTCAGAAAAACATGAAAGAATATAATAAAATGCTCAGTTTTTCATATAAAACATGTTACATCGTTTTACAACGAAAGAAAATAGGAAATGGGTCACAGAAAATGCATATTATAAATAAAAACTATATTACTTACAAGCCCTAGGTCTAAAATGCTTTAGGGTACTATAAAAATTAAAAAGGAGAAGGGAGAGAAAATAATAAAAAATGATAATGACACATTTTCATTCAAGTATGCGTAAATTTTTCAAAGAAACTTCCACAGGCTACTGTAATGCTTTTTACAAAACTTCTGGATTCCTCCTGCGTCGGTTTTTGCTTAGTCGAAATTGCGTATGCGTAAAGTTACAAAATTGTAATTTAAAAAATTTAGCCCTAACAGCTCTTTTCCCTAATTTTTTTAGAACAAAAAACTCTAAAAAAATATCTTTGATACTATAAAAATCATCAGGAGAAAGAGAAAGATAATAAAAAAGACGATAATGACGTTTCATCATTTAAGATTTGCCAAATTATATATAAATTTCCAATATTAATATTTAAAAGTTCTAAGCCTAAAACCTCTTTTACAAGTACTTGATATAAAAACCACCTTACTTGCCAGCTTTAAGTTGAAAAGCTCAAAAGCTAACATACATATAGATGCCAACTTTAAACCTCCATTTATAAGTCGAACAGTAGCCTTTTCTAAATTTAGATACAATACCAGTCAAAATAAGATTTTAAATCACATATTGCAAGGAAAACTACATCAAACCTGCCAGAATATACTTAAAACATTGTTTTCTGGATCGCTCAGTCTCAGATACTTGTCAAAAGCCTCACTTGTTGATAAGACTATAAAAATTTTCTATTCGATTTCGGTCGGATTCAAGTCGAAATCGGGTTTTTGGCCACTTATTGTAAATTAAGATTCTTTATTAAAAAAAAAATAGGCACAATCTAATAAGATAAGGGGTTTTAAATACTGTTACAAAAAAAAGTAATAGGAAACAGGTCACAGAAGATTTACATTATAAATAAATAGTTTATTTGACACGAGCGGGGCGAGTTTTTAATAAACGAGTGAGTAAAAAAGTTTATCGAACGTGTTGCATACTATACGTTTTCGCCAAACAGCACGAATACATTCACTGACATGACCGTCAGAATTGACAAACGTCAAAATTCAAGACGTGGGAAAAATCTCCGAAAATATCCGATTGCTCCCAAACCCGCGCGGTAAAATCCCGGAAATGTCCGAAGTGGTTCGAATCCCTGGAAAAGGAAATTGACGTGGTAAAGTGACGCTTCCCGCACGCTAGTATAATTAGGCATTTTACAGACGGGAGTAGAAAAAACATATTTTCCATATCATCTGGGAAAGTTCTACTACTAAAAGCTACCAAATAATTTCTTTATGATACTATAACAATCAAAAAGAGAGTCAAAAAGCTGAAAAGCTCCTTTCCCTATAAGTTTTAGACCCAATAACTCAAAAAGATATCTTTATAATACTATTAAAAGAAAAACAAAATCAAAAAGAGAAGGTATAGTAGATAAGAAAAAAGATAATAATAACGTTTTTTTCATTCAAGATTTGTCTGTCTAAACTAAAACATTTTCTTTTGCTGTATATATTTCTTCTAGGAAAGAAACGGATCTTGCACGAAGTTAACGGCACATTTCCGGGAGGTCAGCTAATAGCGATAATGGGACCATCGGGAGCAGGAAAGAGCACATTGTTGAACGTTCTGAGCGGTTACAGCATCCGTGGGGTCGGAGGAAACGTGTACATAAACAACGGTCTCAGGAATTTGAAAGCGTTCAGGAAAATATCGTGTTACATAACCCAAGACGATAGGTTGCAGCCTCTGCTTACCGTCGCGGAAAACATGCAGATCGCTGCCGATCTTAAATTGACTTCGAGCGTCAGTCGATGCGAGAAATCGTCTATCGTAAGTATTCTATTGACACGTGCTTCTTTTGTTTTGGCGTTTTTCTCTGTATACTGATACGACGTAGTGTTAATCACGCACAATTTGTTGAATAAATAATAATTGTTATTGGTATCGTGCCTGGGAACAAAAAATATGCGCCTATTTGTTTGTGAGGTCCTTTCAAAGTTCAAAGTCTACGCTATTGCAAGCTAAGTATACTGCGCCCCAGTTATCGAGTTGCTTTTTTTATTTGCTGAATATTGAAACCATCACGGTTTTTACCTGTAGTAATTTAAGACTAAGACTTGAAATAAATAAAAATTAAATAAAAGTTAAACGAAATTTTCCATACTATTAAGAAAATCTGCAATACAAATTCAACTCATAAATATAAGCATTAAAAATCTCAAAAATAGTCCCAAGACAGAGAAGATATTAAGAGCTACCGTCCTGTAGAATTACAAAATCATTTTGGATTGGGCGGCTTTTTTGTTTGCTATAAAGAGTTTACGTTAAAAACAGTTTAGGTACTATCTCCACAGGGTAGTGTTTTTGAGAAGCTCAAAAGGTTCTGGGAAAATAGTAATTTTACAAGAAAAAACCATCACAGCAATGGCCGGCTCAGACTGCTCTGACTTTTGTAGAGAATGTTTTAAAAAAATACAATATAATTTTTCTTGCCTCTATATCTATTCTAATAATGTAATAATAACAAAAACATTATTAAGTAATGCGAATTTTGTGTGTTGAATATTAGATACTAAGTGTTGGATGTCCGTCAAAATTGTTTTGCTAATTAAAAGAAATTCTAATACACTAGTTTAGTTAGTTATAATTATACAGGGTATAACATAAGTGTCTCATAGCTCCTTGTATTTTGATCACTGCTCCATTTAACCACCTTGAACTGGCAGTAAACGCTTGTGTGGTAAATGGAAACACAGGAATGATATTTTTCAAATTAATAAAATTAATATCGAGACTTAAACTTAGTTTTTTCAATACTGTATCGTGTATATTATTATATGATCTGATGCAATTCTATATCATATACCCATTTCAGTCACTTTTCTTGCTGCTTCCTGTTTTCTATTAAAAATCAATCAGAAGTCAAGGTTACTCCAGACTTTACGTCGAAGGAGTTAAGACTCTGGAACTGTCCACCCAGATTGCCTGATTTGATGCCTTTAGATTTTTGCCTCAACGTAAATCTTCTTTAAGCCTGTTGAGAATCGCTTCTGTAGTCAACAAAAGCACAAGTATGGAAGCTAACAATTTGAAAATTTATTTATTACATCGAGAAGCTCCAAAAATTGATCACCAACTGTATATAATTTAAAAGTAGAATACAAATTCTGATTTCATTGCATTTCTCCAATCCTATTTTTAGCGATTTTCTTGTTATTCCATATTTGCTAAATTATTGCTATATAAATTGTAACAGAAGAACTAAAAAATTAAAGTAACGGATCCTGAACACAATTTAATAGTTCTTCCTAGATTGTACATTCATAGGGTACACCAATTCGTTCTGGTGGTCTGGAAGGATAGTTTCAGAGTTCCTTAACTTTTTCGACATAAATAAAACCAAGAACACATCAAACCCTGTGCCGTAAAAACATTTGTTTTAAATATCAGAATAATCTAATATATCCATTTGAAATGGCTTTTCGTACTATCTTGCGAGGAATTGCCACATTTTCGAAACAAGTTATTACTACCCAAAAACTTACAACGCTTAAAATTAAAAATTAAAAGAAAACATTGTAAACTCTCATACAAACAAGGAAATTCGTTCGGCATGATAAGATCCCACTTGGCGTTGTTATGGTTCAAAAGGTCAAAGATAAGAGAAACCACGCATTTTCTCAGATACAACGGCGAAGCAACATCTGTGGTATCACAAGCACTCACTGGCCGAAAACGTGAAAACTTTTGCAACAAAATCCGCTGATTTTGCAAAAAATCAGTGCTTTATCGAATGTTGGTCATTTTTGTGCAGAATATTCTGTTTCAGAGGTAAAGGTCAAAGTATGGTGTCCAAAACTGCTTTTGAACAGTATACTACCGATTAAAGAAGGATTAAAAAATAGTGAGAGCAAATGAAGCACTAAATTGGAGTTTAGAACAGAACTCTATTACAACCACCCTCAGTTTTGCGAGAAGCGATCATCAATATAAAGGGTGTCCCATAAATGGCAAAATGGCAAAATAGGAGATTCTTCAGAGTGTGGAAGTTGCAATTTCATTTTTATTTATTAAATAATTGTTGAAATTATACAGCTTTTTGCACAAAATGTAGCAAGGGGGTTTTTTGACAGAAATCCGTTTTTGTTAATAACTTTGGGACAAATTGTAGAGGGCGCTACTTATGGTACTTATTGTGCACTTGATACTTGTAACTTTATTGCGCCTTAGCGTATGCAGATTTTTAATAGAGGTGTTATTTCTTTCATCTTTTTTACACAAAGTATCTTGGTTAATTTCAACTTTTGTACTAAGGTAAAATCGTAATATTTGTACCTACAGAATTTTCTATTTTGCCATGTACTATTACTTATGGACCATTGGTTTTAACAGAACTCGTGTGGTTTAAAATATTTCACAAAATTAAGGAAGGAAAAATGTATTTGTTCTAAAAAGATTAAACCAAAATGAAATTCCCATGATATTGATCTCAAAAGCAGCAACGACCTTTGTTGCTTAATTGTTCGCCAAGTTTCGGAAGCGACACAATTTTTAATCTTAACTTGTAAATAAAATTATTACGATAATGATTACAACAATGTTGCGACATTTTTCTGATAATTCAAACTTTGATAATAACGCTCTATTAATAAATAACATACAAAAAATATATTTTTCTATCCCTACCAGATCGATGTTAAATATGTTTGCTCTTCCAGATTGACAATATCCTAAGTACTTTGGGCCTTATCGATACCAAAGCAACCAAAATATCGCGTCTGTCCGGAGGTCAAAAGAAAAGGCTTTCGATAGCTTTAGAACTAATCAACAATCCATTGGTGCTGTTCTTAGACGAACCTACCACGTAAGTACAATTTCTACCTCTCAAACCGGTTGTTTTTTGTTATCGCTAAAACGAACGTCATAGTTATACCGAGAATAAATGGTATGTCACTTAAGGCGCTTCGTTAATTTAACACTTAGCATTGAGAATAATAATTAGCGAAACTGAAATCAAATGAGATAAACAACATGTCTTGTTATCCTTAATATTAATCATTTGGTTTTTGCATTGTTACACAAAAACGTATATTTAAATTAGCACTGAAACAAGGTCACAGTTCACAAGTTCTGTAAACTCTTTAAGAGGTATAGCGGCCGCCTTCCACTGAAAACAAAAACCAGGAAATAAGCAGCCCATGAAGAAATGCCATCTGACTACTTTGCACACTATTACGTGGGAGTGCCCAACATGCAGTAACGGCAAACTAATTGGAAACCATAGCTTACGAAAATTTTAATTGTTACTACCAAAAGCTTTGTTCAAGCTATATAGAATATTATATAATTATTGGGTTGGTCTATTATTTTTACGTAAACCATAATTATAAGTTTGAAGAACAATTTTATTCTATTACTTCTGGATTCTTCTGGCGTCAGTTGTGGATAAATCGAACGTGCTGATGTTTCGCCTATCATCCTGTTGACTTCTTCAGAGCTTAACTGAAACTGGCTAGCATTCTACTCTGTACCTGCTTGTATATTGTTTGAGGGGACCGGAGCTAAAATAGGGTCTCGGATGACTGATTCCCAAACTGGTGAACTGAATCGCAATTAAGATTGTTTGGTTGCTTATAGATTTCTATGGATTCCCGGATTTTCATTGGCAGAAGAATTGAATAATTTTAGTTTAACTGAATAAGATTTTAATTTTAAGAACTGCTGATGAGTTTATTTACCATAATCTTAAGGCCTAGTTGATATTTTTCGTTCAGTCTCTCCAATGTATTCTTTACCGCATATTCATGGAATGCTATAAAGCTCTGGTATCTCAAACGAAAATTTATCCTTGACAGATCGAAGAAAATGAGAGATTTTTGGACAAGTGTTAAATCTTGCATTGACGTTATATTTATTATCAACTTTTGATATGTGGTCAGTAATGTTTTCAATGTAAGGAATTACAACAGTGGAAAGTTGGAGTTGCTTTCGTACTCAGTTGTTGTAAAATGTATTTTGTGATGGAACGCTTTAATGTAGAAATTATTAGTGTTTTAAATCTAGATTCAGTGACCCGACTCTGTAAACAAGAGAGTTGATAACCGATGATTTCTGGGCCGCATGGTGATGTGACAAAGGCTACGGTTTGTGTGCGTAAGTTTTCTGTAATTAGATTGACTCAATGTTAGGTCTGATGTTTAATTAATTAGAATATCTGATAATGGGAGATGATTTTTAGTGTCTAATCCACTAATTGATGTAATGTTAAGGTGTATAAACTTTAGTTAGTAGTTTTAGTTGGAAGGTTGGTTGGTTGGGAAGGATTTCTTCTCAAAAACTCAGATACATATATTCGCGATTACTGGTGATAATAGAGAAACAATAGCTGTTTCTGACGTTTGTTCATAAATTTCACCGTATAAAATAATGTTGAGAGTTTCAGGAATTGGTACTTAAGTAAAGAGGGATTCTGTGTCAACACGACCAAGAATATGGTTAAATCAAATATAATAGTTTTTAATTGTCCAATGAAGTGAAAGCACTTAAGTACGAAACGAGTTTTCCCCGTAAAGAGTTTTAATATTGAAACTAAATATATTACTAGGGAATATATCTGATAACCAATGGTGCGTTGCATCGAATGGGAAATCCCACGCTTGCCACTGAAAGAAATAAACTCTAAAATCTTCTTACATGTAACAAATTCTTCTATCAAAGAAAAAACCGAAAATCCATAGACATCTACAAGCAACAACACAATATTAACTGCGACACAGGTTTACCTTTTACCAAAATTTTGCTTCAGTCTTCCATTATCTCGGATCAGCAACCGACGCAGGAGGAATCCAGTAGATTTGTAAATAGTATTTAGTAGCCTATGGAAATTTCTTTGAAAAATAATTATTTAAATCTATAATTTATTTAAAAGAACTTTATATTTACCATAGAAATTTAGTGAGTTGTCACCTTCCATTTCTGTCAATAATTGAGTATTAATTATTTGAATTGAGTTTCTGCACATAATATGGGTTCGCAAGCGAATTGTAACAAAAGGAAAGCTTATTTCTATCAAAATATTGAAGAAATCATTAGTCGTTCCAAAAAAAGCTGTGTTTAATGCTGTGCATCATGTTAAAGTTTCTAAAGCAAACTCTCATGGAATGAGCAGTTGACATTTGGAAAGAAGTTTTTATTGAATATCCAAGAGAGTGAGTTTTCGCTACCGTTTCAACGAGACACAACTCTTGGCAAGGTTCAGAGGAATAAACCTCACCTATTCGAAGTGAAAGCAGGTGGATGATTCATAAATCTCAAGATATATGCCGCTCGAATCATATAAGTTCAGATTCAAAAATTCGTAACATTTTAAAAAGTTATTGAACCGGAATTCAGTGTTAACTTAAAATATTATAAAATTTTATAAAATAATATAAAATATAAAAATATTATAAGATATATATAAAATATTATATTAAAATATAACTTAAAAAATATATTAAAGTGTCAATTTTGTTTAGTTTGATCATAGAAATAAGAACTTATGAACTAATTAGATTAAATCATTTATTTCGACGAAATAAAATTAAGAATTTATGTATAAATTTTAGGTTCTCTCTGAATGACAAATTATATTATATAAAAAATATGGTGAAATATGTTCATGATCATCTAATTAATGTGAGAACTGTTTAAACGAAATGCGACACATTCAAATTAAAGAATTGTAATTAACTATATAAATTTACAAAATACAAAAACAGAAAATCAACCTTGCGCGCCATTTCCATTTCCCTCATTAATAAAAAGATTTCATTATTATATTATTAATTAGTCACCAGTGAGAACAAACAATACAAGACATAAAAAATGACAGTTAAAATAGAATCATCCGAATATTATGGCCAGTTGAATCAAAGGTAAATAATTTTCGTTCTGATGAAAACATTGCAATTTGGAGGTCGGTGTATCATGGTTTTTTTGTAATGTTGTTGGCATTAACATACAAGAAGAAAATTTATCAGCATTATGGAAATTTCTGAACGACAATGATCCCAAGTATTCTCCTAGGAGGGTCACTACCTGGGTACAGATCGTACAGATGTTTTATACTGACCATCTTGTAACCCAAACCTTAACCCAATAACCCAAGAATCTGTGTATAATCATTAAAAGAAAGTTAGGCTCGAGAACTTCCCAGGACTTCGACGAACTATTCGAGGATGTGGGAGAAGCTAGCAGATGTTAATATAAAAAGTAATTAAAAGCAATGAATACCCAACATTAGATTGAGACAAAACCTTGTTGGCTAAAAATACGTAACTAATTAATTTAAAAAGGTAGTTTTTTTTCAAATTAATTAGCAAACAAAATTATTGTTGTAGACTTATGATTGTACTTAATGCGAAAATGATAAATATACAATGACAATAGTAGCAATGATATAATATTCAATATATTTGACACAAATTTCTTAGTATCAACAATTAAAATTGTCGTAAGCCACTGTTTCTAATTAGTTGAACGTGACTGTATAAAATTCAAGCTAAACATTAAATAACATTACCAATATCTTTCAATCGATAGCTTCATGGCAGACCTTCGTGCAAAAACTTTTCATCCTGAATACCTTGAAATCGGAATATTTAAAAAAAGCACAAACATATGTAGAAATACGATAACTTCCTGAGCAAATATTCATTCCACAGCGTTGATAGGAAATATCGAGTAAAACATCTTGTTTTTATGTTATGTGAAAATTTCAAACTCTTAATGTGTTGTTGCATTCTTCGCCATCACAATTTTTATATTATGCTGATGTTTAAATTATTTCATTGTTTAATATTGAATGAAATCTTTCAATTTAATGCATTTAAATTAGCAGATTCCAGCAAAACGGACGTCAAAATAAAAGTACTAAAACTTTCTCTCTCTATATTTCCGTTTAGCAGGTATGGAGTACATGGAACACAAAAAGTTTGCCGTGGTTTTTAAGTGTTCCAGCTGTTTTTTTTTTAGATTTCGAGATGCTCGAGTTCGAAAGTTTTCAAATAAACGCACTGTATAAGGTTTTAGGATGGTATACGTAATTAGAGTTTGATTTTTTGATTAACTAAATCTGTAGGTTTTTTATTAAAGATTATTGCTATATTATAAGATTTTCTGTAAATTATGCCTGAAAGATAGGTTGGTCTCAATGGCGATCCGAGATTAGCAATGTGTTCGGAGTTTTGCAGTAATTGGATCCTATAACATTGAAAGCTACTGTCACAAACTTCTATAATTCAGATTCTAAAGAATCAGCTTTTCGCACAAAAAATAATTCTAATTCTGAACCAAACCATTTTCAAAAAATAATCCTAAAGTTGGAAAAACATCTTTAGCACGGATACAGCGATAGCTATCCTACTAATAATCAGTATAAATCGCGTTATCAGCGATGACTATACTTTTTAATTAAAAATTTTTTCATTTTAGCGGTTTAGACAGTTCATCCTGCAGCCAATGCGTGAAACTGCTTCAGGTCCTCGCCAATCAGGGACGGACCATAATATGTACCATCCACCAGCCGGCGGCATCGCTGTTTCAATTATTCAACCAGGTTTATGTGTTGAGCGACGGGAGATGCTTGTATCAGGGCGGGACAGATCAGATGATCCCGTTCTTCCAAAACGTCGGGTTTCCATGTCCGCAATTTCACAATCCCGCCGACTACGGTTGGTTATCATTTTATTTTATTTGTATGCTCAAAATAGCTAATTATCTTGTCTATACGATATGCTACAGAAGCACATCAAAATTTTGACCAATTATACACTTTCCAGTGATTGAGTTGGCTTGCGGAGAATACGGCAACGATAAAATAAACATAATGGTTGAATCGTCGGGCAATGGAGACTCCCTGACGTATTTTGAAGACAGAAAGATCCTGTCGAGCAACAGAAACACCGGTAAGCACTAAGCATACAATTCTTGCGGATAGAATTAACGTATCCTCTTAGGGAAAGAATGCGAAACCTTTGATGATGACGAGGAAGGACTGCAGGCCACATCAAAGTTAAACCAGTTAAAAGTTCTAATGCGAAGGGGCTACATCAAGTCGAAAAGAGACAAGGTAAATATAAGACGCTACCCAGTGAGCCTTAAAATCTAAAAAAAAAAAACATTCCAATAGACTCTGACGTACTTGAGAGTTGGGGTGAATGTAGTCGTAGCTTTAATGTTGGGAGCTCTTTATTACAAGGCGGGAATCGATGGATCCAAAGTTTTGGACAACTACAATCTACTGTTCTCCATACTCATGCACCACATGATGTCCACGATGATGTTAACTATTTTGACTTGTAAGTGAATCGTATATTCTATTAACTTGAACCCGCTTGAATTTAGTTCCTCTCCAGTTCCCCAAGAAATGAACATTCTCATCAAAGAGCACTTCAACAGATGGTATTCGCTCAAAATGTATTACGCTTCGGTGACCTTGATAGATCTTCCGTTGTCGGTTTGTATTCGTTATTAACTTGTCCTTGCTGAAACCTATAGGTTATATTTTTTACAGATATTTTGCTGTTTCCTGTTCAGCGCCATTATATATATTTTAACGGCCCAACCATACGATATGACAAGATTTACGATGTTCTTCGTAAGTAGCATGCTGGTTGTGTTCGTCGCGCAAAGTTTTGGACTGATGATAGGGGCATATTTTAATGTAGTGGTGAGTTTTTACATAATTTATAGTTATCTCATGTGATAACTCAATTTTCTTCTTTCCAATTCTAGAACGGCACTTTTCTTGGGCCAACTTTGTCAGTTCCTATGATGATGTTTGCTGGTTTTGGAGTGTCTCTTCGAGATCTGCCCTCATATCTCTACTGGGGCAGCTACATCTCATATCTCCGTTTTGCGCTTGAAGGAATAGTCGGAGCTGTCTATGGGATGAACAGGGCCACCCTCGATTGTCCCGAGGACCTATACTGTCACTACAGATATCCCAAGAAATTCCTGGAAGATGTGGCTGTGAAAGCTGATCAGTTCAGCAACGATGTTATAGCACTGATTTTGTTTTGGTTCTTGCTCAGGATAGGGGCGTTAGTCATATTAAAGTACAAACTGCACTCGGTCCGCTAATATGAATCGACAGAATCGAGACGTTAAGTCTGCACTTCATACTCCTGTGATTTACGAGTAGCGACTAATATATTTTAAAGGTGTTATTTTCTACATCTGAGGGTTTATTGCAATCTTTAAGTGCTACTCAACATGTTTGTAGATTATCTCAACGGTCTATATCAATGCAATTTTTTCTTTTTCTTCGAAAATGGTCCTACTTTATATAATTAAAAAGCGTATAAATATAAGGTTTCGAGGATAAGAAGTAGATTCTGGAAAACTACTGCAAAGGGCTGTGCATTTCGTAGGTGCAATATTTATTTCTTATACTATGGAGGAATTTGGACATTTTTTTAATTTATGTTATATCTATTCAGTTAGATTTGTAGTATATAAAGGAGTTTATATTATATATATTTTCTTTAAAACCCGGCAAAGTCTCACTGTAACCTTATTAGTATAGTATCTTACAAACCCCAACTAGGCCAAAACTAATAGAACAAGATTGCTTTCAAAATCTCTTCGCTGTGCGGAGCAAGTAAAAGTTGTAGCCCTGGATCTCCCACTTATACGAGTATATGATTTTGTCCAATAGAGTAAATGCTTATTATCTGAAAGCATGCAGAAGGTCGTAATAATAAATGACGTCATCGCGTCTAAATATAGCACAAGATATGGTGACTTTCACGTGGACTTTTTCAAATATCTCGAGCAGCGTGTGTGATAGACGACAACCATAAATATAAAAATTGTAGCTCAACAGGACTGTCGAAACCAAATAGCCATATTTTTCACAAATTTCGATTTACGGCTAACAATTTACTACCGAAAACAAAAAAATATTATCAATAATTGAAAAACAAAAGAAAATTGTTAAAAAATACTTGGCGACGTTTGAAAGTTGAAATGCCGAGCCAAATCTGAAATCGATAGCTGCAAATTTAAGGCACCTACTACATTTTGTATTATGGCACGAAACATCCCGAACACCCTATATAATGAGTAGAACGACAGAGTGAAAAATTATTATTGAGCAAAAATACTCCTACTATTAAAGAAGGTAGAAAGAGAAGATATGAACAAAGCAATAGATATAAATCAACTGAAGATCGAAGAAGTGAATAGTCAAATATAACATGAAACAAACAACCAATAGAAGACAAATTGTGTAGCAAAAAGAACACTAACTGCATTAATTACAAAAAAAATAACTTAGAACTGCAGATAAGACAAAAAAGGAGACATGGTTGACAACGAGAAAAGACAACTCAAAAACGGAAACGATATTAAGATACAAAGCCATGAATAAATTGATCAAAAAGAAGACAAAAAGGGCGAAAAAGTTATGGCTGAATTTAAAATGTGCAGAAATCTAAGAACCTGAAAACAAACATGCACAAAAGAGTTAAGGAAGAAGGGCAATGACAAGGAGAAGACTGAGCAAATGATATAGGTTCAAAGTGCTATAAAATGAAAAGACATATTTCTGTTTTTTTTTGTATTATGTAAGCAACTATATAACATAACGTTTTTATCACATTTGAATTTTTGATCACTTTTCCAACAAGTTGGGCTGAATTTCGCCAATAACTTGTTCGATGTTAATTTTTAAGTTGCTAGTTTGGGGATTGTTAGTGTATACCAAAGACTTTACATAACTTAAAGGAAAAAAATCCAGAGGGGTAAGGTCACACGACAATGGCTTCCAGATGATACGACCAAGAAATTATTCGCCCCTCAAAAAATTCATTATGTCTAAGATAATGTGGCAAAATCTTTTCGAAGAGCACCTATTGCCCATTTTCATAGAACTTTTGCACTATAACTAAAAGTTGGTCTTTATAAATATGAAGAGGCCAGCTTTCATGAGAGGATGGTTCACTAGGTGGTTGAGTTGAGTTAAGAAACGATCTTCTAATGTAAGGTGGAGAAATACTAGCAAATGAATACAATTTTGGTAGGTTTCAAGCAGCCCATTATCTTCCTGCAAGAATCATTAATGTTAAAGACCATCTAAATTTGATAATTACGGACATTTCATGTAGCAAGTAGAAAATAAAAGAAATAAAGCATCTCCTTTGATTATTTAATATTATTATATTTTGTAAGATATATTTGAATATATATGTATTATTATTATAATTATTAACATAATAGTTTACTTTTTGCTATACGCATCTCTCATGTCTCTATTTAATGCATGTAAAAATCTCTAAATTAAGTACCGGTTTAAATAGTCAGTGTTTAAATTTATCTTACGTTTGAAAAGGCAATCAAGTAGAGACAAAGTCATAGTAAGCCAATGCCTAGGACAAATAGACACTTTAGCGACAAAGAAAACGTGATTGCCTATGTCCATATTTGAGCAGTAAAAATAAGTTTAGACTTCGATATTAGTAAAACATCGGTATACCAATCTGTAAAAGACTATCTACTCCCTCATCATCAGGCTCTTTTAGAAACTGATTTACTAAATTCTTTGGTAGATGAGGATACCAATTTTTATCTCGAATATTATGGACCGATGACGCTACTTTTTTGAGCAATGAATGAGTCCATTTGCATAATATGCATTATTGGTCGCCAATGATTCCTCATTGGATGCGTGAAGTGAATTATCAAAATCGCTGGAGTATGAACTTCTGTGTAGTTTTTTGGGCGATCAGGCGATGAAAACATTTCTCTTTAAAGGTTAAGTTACTGGCCAAATTTATTTGAACTTAAGAAACGACTTGTCGATTTAATTCGAAAACGTTTCTTCAGAACGAAAAGAGATGTGTATCTGCAACACGATGATTATTCAGCACACTTTTCTCACGAATTTATTAAATTTTTAGACCAGACTTATCCGTCAGATCTCCATACCTTACTGTCCTGGATTTTTACCTTTGGGAAAAAATAAAAGATTGTTTATCACTACTACCCTTCAAAATATGGTTGATCCTATCCGAAATGTTCTAGCCAATCTTACAAGAGCTGAAATTAGAACAACCGTATTTTCATTTTCCTTTCAATCAATTTTGTTGTGTTTTATCGTTATCAATGTTTAGTTTCATAATTTTCCGATAGACTTATTAATTTATAAGCGTTGCGTTGGGTTAGGATGAAGATATTGAGATGCGGTTTTCAATAGGTTGTTGGGCTCTTGTTTGTATTTAATGAGAAAAAAATATCATATCGTTGCTTTCAATTTCTTTCCATAAACTTATTTTTATTGCCATCATGTCTGAAAACGCCATGTGGTCGAAGTATATCAAAATCCATTGAGTCATTTCCAGAAATATTGGAGCACCCCCACCACTTTCCAATTACGACCTTTGAAGTTTAGAACCTGACAATTTCCAGCAATTTCTTTAACCGACTTAGTTTTTTTTTTCAAATTTTTAGGAACATCAGTTTCTCTATTAAGATACCACGTTGCCGAGGACTGTTATGAGATAATTGGCATTTTCATAGAATAGTGAAAAACCTTTGCTATTGAACAAATAAATCGCTATTGTAATATTTTATTAGCCTACATGTATAACAGGTTAAAAAATATCGGCAATATCTAATATAATGTATAAAGACATTGAGCAAAATGCAGGTGTGTAGGAAACTCTACTTCTATACGAAGGCGCCGGGTTACTTTATAACATTTCTTTTACTGCCGAACTCAATACCCAATTATGCACTAATCTAATGTGAAGAAAGTCACACTTTAAGATGTCAGTTTCGTTATCGCGAACCGCTCCGACATTTCCGGTACTTTAGTCACGGGTTTTGGATCGGATATTTTCGGTAAACTTTACCCCCGGATAATTTCACGTCAGTTCCAGCGCTCGACGTCACATGTCACTCATTGAATACCAAATCAGAAGATGTCTTAATTGATTCCCATTATCCATTCAGTGTTTTCAGTACGCACAGAAGAGCAAATATTGGCAAATAGCAAACTTTTTGCCTGATTTTATTTATAAACGTTTTTTAAATTAAATTGCGTATCTAGTTATTATTCCATGACAAATTGATGGCATACAATCATTTGACCTTTTAGCTGTACAGACTTACTTGGACACTGTATATAATTAATTACAATAATGCTCTTAATATTATTAGGAAATTATTGAAAATTATGAGCAATTGAGTGAGCATTGATAAAAATCGCATTAAGTAGCGGTCAAAAGTGAAAAGCAAAAAGTAATAAAACTGCATAAAAAAGTGTGTACCTATCAAAGCCTTCAATTCCTACGGCAATTATTAATTTTCGCTTCCTGGAGAGTTAATTGACTGATTGGTTAATTGTTAATTGTTTTAGGAAGCGTCCGGATTTAATAATTTCTGATTTTTATATTATTAAAGCGTACCCGTGAAATTTTCGCATGCAGCAAATTAACCGAAACGACGTCGTTTCGGAAGATCTAACAAAGACCGGATGCGATTCAAAATTAGCTGCATCCGGAAAACAATAAACGACCGTTGACGTAATACTAAGAACAAGGAAAACGTTAATACCTGGTTAACAAAAAGTATCGAAACGCTTAAATTTCTGAGATTCAACGCCTACGGGTTTTTGGAAATGCTAAAAAGATATTTGTAACTCTGGTAGATAACCTTTCACGGATTCAGTATAAAAGGTTTCTATGTTCAAAAACCCTCAAAATTCTAAGAGGTTAAGATTTTTTTATTAATAGTAAATTTGACAACGCTACTGTTATCGTTTTTGAATTCTGCATATTGAAAACCCTACAGGTTTGAATTATATCGTTCCAACTTCGCCGGTTTTGGAGATATTAGATATTACTAACTCGGTATATAAATATAATTTTTCCAAATAGCCTTTATATACAATACGTTCCAAGTTGAATATACAGTAAAATTGCCATATTTCAGACGGCTACGAGATTTTTACACGATTTTTGCACGCGCTACACTTTCCAACCAAAGACTTTTATCGAATCTGTGAACAACATACAACCTGGCCAGAAAGAATAGAACATTAGGAAGAGATGAAGATGATTTAAGGATTTTACTAAAAGTTGAAGAAAATCCCAATACTTCAACAAGAAAAATATAGGAAAATCTGAAAGAAAAGTTTATTGATCATAAAAATACAATGTAGTGGAAGATTCAAACCACTTTCAAAAATTACTGCACAGGCATTGAGAAAAAAGATTTACTTCTGCCATAGAATGTGGGAAAAAATTAACGGAAATGACGATTCATCGTTTTCAGTAATGGTGTATGGTAGTGGTATGATAAATCGAAATAACAGCAGAGAGTTAATTTCAATTTCAATGAATTTCAAGGAATTTCAATAAATGCGTGGTGTGCTATTTTGAACAACAGGATAATAGGTCGTCATTTCTCCGACGTTACTCTAAACAGTAACGGTTTTTCTAAATTTTCTTCAGAACCAATTAGAAGACTGTCTGGATAAACTCCCATTGGAACAACTAAGGAACCTCTTGTTTCAACAAGACGATGCTCTATCTCATTGTGTGGTATTTGTTTTAAAAATCAAAGGATTTTTAAATAATGAAACTATAAAGTGACCACCCAACCGTCCTGACCTGACGCTGGGGGAAGTTCAAATTCTAAATGAAGAATATTCCTAATCTATCGCTACCGCTTTAGAAAGATTACGAAGAACATACATCAGGTGTATTGAAGAATATGGAGGACCAGTGGAACAATTCCATTTATAAAACTAATTACCTACATATTATATTATACCTACCTAAATTATAAGTTCTATAATATTTTTAATGTCGCGTTTAGCTTAACAAATATTTCGAAAACAATTGAATTTAAGTATATGGTACAGCTATTATGATATAATTAGGTATTAGGATATATTATACGAAATGTTCTCTTCTTTCTGGCTAGGCTGTATGTTTGTTGAAATTTTTCATTAATCCGATGAACGTTTTTTTGTCTAAAAAGTGCAATCGGAGTTACTCACAAGTAGTTTCCCTTTGAGCCAATTTAGCCCTCTTATTTGGTTTAATAAACGTGTCCAAAATTCATTGTTTACCTCTTTGCGAATAAGGCATTTTATATATTATAAAGAGCATAGTTTTACTAAATCTGTAACTGTCACTGTCAGTTATAAACAGCATTTTGTTTTCTGGTTACGATCTATTTCGCAGCCAGCTAACATAAATTATAAATTCTAGAATATTATTTTGTCTTTGAATACAATGAATGAATATAACGTTTTTTTGCCAAACGTTAAAAAAGTTAAATGGGGGAACATTATAAATGATCACCCGGTACATTTCGCACAGCAATTTGCACTTTTGACCTATATTTTTGAAATAGCGATCTCTACACCTAACCCATCTTTCTCCCAGAAAATTTAATGGCATAAGGGCTAATTTCTAAAGAAGTACTGTCGAATTAATGCCGCACTGTCGACTGTCTTTTCAAAACAAGGATCCGATTTTAGCTACCCTGTTCCTATGAACTAAAATATAACTTTTGTAGGTACCGCATATAAAGTGCCTTTCAAAGTAATGTCAAACTTTGGTAGATATAAAAACCAGTATTAACGATTACGATTTTAATGATCAATGTTTTTTAAATTCCGAAAACAAATCGCGTTCCGCATGGCATATAATGAACAATGAAACAAAATGTGCCACAAAAACACCGGATTTTTTTATTGATACTGAAGGGGATAAGGTTACTAATATGACTTCGGCTGCAAATTGTTTTAACAATTTTTTCGTCGATTCAGCCAATAGTTTCAAAAATATGTTTTCGCCTAATAAAAATACGATCTCGCCAGATGTAGGTCTTGCTGAGACTATGTATTTAAGTCTATATTTATGTACAGAAGTTAGTAATATAATGTTGCTAGTCACTAAGAAATATTCTGTAGAACCGATGACACATCTCATTAGTTATTCCTTTTTGCATGGATCTTTTCCCAGCATTCTAAATAATGCTCTCTATAAAAGAACGGTGCAACACTCTTCGAAAAAGCCCCGCATTTACTTTCAATTTTTTTAGAAAGTCAAGACCTTTTTTCTGGCATGCAATTTGGATTTCGAACAAAAACAATCAACGAACGGTGCCATTCTCTCTTTTTAGAGGTAATGCCTTAAA